ACAATTATTTATCAGTTTAATTGATAATTAAAACTTAAAAAAAGAGATACATTTTTTAAGAATAAGCAGGTTATAACAAGAAAATTGATAATATATTTATGTAAAAATATAAGAAGTTGCTACTTTAATATATTTTAAATATTTAAAAAATATATCAAAATTTGTTCTAGGGTATTAAAGTTAGCAATTTTTGAAAAATAATTCATATTTTTCTATTATGATTATATAAAATAAATGAAAGAAATTTTTAAAATTTTAATTGTAACTAATAACTTAATAGATTAAATTTTAAAAAATGTATGTNTTTTTTTTAAATCTCAGATGAGCAAAATGCAGAGCATTTTAATTTTTAATTCATATTATAATTCAGAAAGATAATTTAAAGAAAAATTTTAAATTAGTCTTTCTACAATTTTCTATGAGAGAAAGATTGAGAGAAAATATCGGTTTGAACATTTTTTGAATGAATTGGCCCACATACTATACGAGTAACTGTGAAAACACTTGATTAAGCAAGTGGCCCATTTGGCTATCAGCCCACTAGCGCTTAGAGACGAATCAAGCAAGCTCATTTGCACATTTCAACTTTCTCTTATAAAACTTCATACAATAATCTGAAGGTTGATATTAGTTAAATAAGATTACAGGTTTCTTATATGACAAATATACAAATCAAACTACTGAAAAATCTCAATTACATATTTAAAATTAATATAGAAAATCTGATTTTATAAATAAACTTTAATAAACATTTGATTTTATTATTCGCTTATTAAATACATATCAAAAAGCGCAAAATCAATAAGTAATTTCGATTAATTTTAATATGTAACATTGCCAAAAAGAGAATAAAAAAAAAAATTCTAGGTCTTGGGTTAAATCCAAGAAAGTTAAATTATTGAGATCAATAACATTCTAGGAAGTTAAATGTTAAAATATTTGCAAAAATTAAATATTTTGATAAATTATATGTAGTTCTTCTCATTCATTTTATATAAAGAGTAAACATTTGTATTCTGTTATTTATTTATGTAGTGTATACTATACATAAAATATTTTAAAATAATTTATTTCTCCAAGAGAATTACGGCATTTCTAAAAGTTATTCGATTGTGTGTAACATTGTCTAATAAATGAATTGATATGTGACAAAAATCGCATTGTTACGACCTTGTATATATAATAATAAGGAAGTTACATATCATCTGCTATCCAGTAGTTACCTTCCAGCATTCAGGATGCTGAGTCATAGATTTGTGTTGGTTAGTTATCCTTGTACTTTTATGCAATAGATATTTAACAATAAATGGGCAAACTCGATATTTTTCGTATTAATTCTGATCAAAAACAGTATTTTTGAGCTAAAATCAATATAACACGTTATAATTCTAGAAGAAAATTATAATCAAAACATCATTAGATTAAAAAAAAAAAAAAACAGAAATATAGTCACTAAAACCCATTTAAAAGATTGCTATAATATTTATTACAATCTTTTTCATATCTTGAATATTTTATAACAGCTTAAATCTATCATTCACGTTTCTTTTTAGAGAAAAATCAATAAACAAGGGAACGTGTAGTGAGCACTTTCGTAAGGGCGTGATCGCTGTCTGCAAATGGAAGAATGAATAAAATCGATACATTGAATAAATCTCACACAATTATATTGTAATAAATCCGATAAGATTGTATTTCTAAATTTAAAATATATATATTTTTCAAGCATTACTTAAGCAAATATAATCAGAGGGTGGTGTGCTTTTTAAAGTATATACAGTATATCTGTTAAGTTAGCTTCAATTATATATTTTGTAATACAGGAAGTTCGGTGTAGCGAATCGTTAACTTCTCGATAAAAATTCAGTACTCGTCTCTTATTAGTTTGTAAATTTTCATGAAGTTTTAGAAAGGGATATACAATATACTTGTTTGACATAATATAGTATTTTATTCCCAGATGTCAACGACCCGATACAAACTAGACAATGAATAAACGCACTACTGAGCGTGAACGTTGATGATGTATTTGCGTCAATGCTGCCGAATGTAGCATTTGTCTTTAGTATCGAGTTTATTTTTATCATTCTAAAAGGGCAATTTCTTTTGTCTGTGAGGTTTTGACTATGCAAAATAGTTCAATTCCGAGGCCGACGACAGAAAGAAATTAAAATAATAGAGCACTATCTCATGTTACATCCAACAGCTGCGACTTCCCATGGTCAAATGGTTGACTGATTTGACAAAATACTCTATTCAGTTTAGGATTAGACAATATAACAATCTATCTTTTTAACTATTCAGACTATAGAATTGCTATTATTATATCATATAATTTTTCAGATCTTCAATATAATTTTACATCAAATGTCATTATATGAATGCCAAGTATAAAATTTCTTAATGTGGGTGGAGATGATGTTTCAAAAATACAGGATGATTATACAATTGTATGTAGGTTGCAATTTAGGAAATTTTGAAAACTTAAACAGTATTTTAATACGATTGTTTTGTTAAAATTCAGTAATTTCTACCATATTAGCTTACCTAATAAAGAAAATATTTGAAATATTTACAAAACAAATATTATGTTTTGTAAATATTTCAAATGGTTACACTATTAAAATTAATCAGAAAAAAATTTTTTTTGTAAACAAATATATTTAAAAATGGTTCAACAAGTATTTAGATAAGATATAGTAATCTCTAGGCAAAGAATTATTTTTGATTTTTAAATTAAATCTATTATTATTATTATTAAATGTTTAAATAACTTTTTGTAATTTTAATTGTTATGAAAAATAATTTATTCAATTGAAAATATTAACTTTAAATAGCAAAAATATGGAATTAACATTGGTATAATAAAGTAATATTGATGATATTTTAATTTAAAATAAACATTTTCAAGTGAGGAAAGCATTTATCTTCAATGTTTTATTCTGCATTCATTAAAGGAAATACAGTATTGGATAAATAAAATTTTTTGTGAGGTAGATTGCATTTAAGAATTCTGTTAAGATTAATTACTAGAAATAATTAACAAAATCAAATGTGTTAATAGAAATAAATTGAGAAATTTATCAGTTAAATTACATATTTTTATTTTATTTTATTTACTTAATGAAATAGTTGATCTTAAATAATCAATAAAATTTTAGTTCATATTACTAATAAATGAACAATAATATACTACAAAAATGTTTTATTTATTGTTCTATAAAGAAGGATCAATAATAAATTGTCATTTGTTGTCTATTATTTTTGTAGGAATAAAATTTTGATTTTTGTTTTTAATTATCAGTTACTATATTATTATACAATACAGAAATTTATTAAAGATTATATAATATCAGTTCAATTTTCTATAAAAAATATTTTGCAGTTTTAATTATTAATGTAAACAAATTCATTTATTATACTATTTACTGCATTACATATTTGAATAAGTTATTTAGATAAAATAATTCGAATTAATCTTACTTCTGTATTTAATAAATTTGAGTAAATTGTCCAATTGAATTTAAATACTAGGTAATTTAGATGATATATTTTATTGTCTATTAGCAATTTAAAAAAATACAAAGGAAATATTGCTCATACATAAGACAAGACAGTTGTGTTTCAGTTCAGTTAACAAAAACTTGTGACACAAAAATCACAAAAACAAATATTTAGATTTGATCTATATTTAGTTAAATATTTAAAATCATTTTCCATTTTTTAAATTTATAAATATATTTATTTTCTTAAAAGTTATTACATCAAAATATTTATTTTATGTGAATTTTTTAATGACACCAAATCAAATTTATTATTTTACTTTCATGTATTCATTGGTACTTGAGTTAGTATTTGAAGAATCGATATAAGCAATAACTGGATGAGTACAGTTTAAATTAACCAAAAATATTTGTTCTGGTGTAAATTTTATGATGGATAATAAAGTTTTAGTTTCTTAATATTTAAAAAACTGAAGATTATATAATATACAAAAGGCTTATACAACACAAATATTTCAATTTTATTAAATTTATTAGAAAAACATAAACATATTTTTAGTGCTTTATGAATCATCTGTAAGAAATATTAAATTTAAGATAAAATCATTGACTATTTACTACTTAAAATTTTATTGTTACAAAAACTAAATAGTTTTCATTACATTCTTCCTGAATATGTGTGTCACAATTAGAAATAAATATTGGCCCTTTCTGACAATTTTTAAATATAGGTGCGGTGACATTTGATGATATGGAAGCTATGCAGGCCCTGGATAGAATCATTGGACGTGTTATATGATATTTCGGTGTGTAGCATCCACCAGCTAAACCACGAGGTTGGGTGGGTTCTGTAAAGTGCATGCATGAATGCATATAATCTGGCCGCTTTACACAATTTGGCTATTTTCATCATGGAAGCTATCCCGTATTTGACAATACGGCACTTCCATTGGGAATATGCATATTCGAATATACAATAGCAATCTTATCATTTTTTTTCACATGTAGTATAGAAATTTGTAATAAGATATATAATGTGGTTATAATAAAATATTAATTTTAATTAATTCAAAGGATGTTAAAATATGAAAATAATTGCACAATATGTATTTATATTTTAGAAAATACAAGGAAAGCTGCGCTTCCATGGATGGCACATCACTGATAGATAAACAATACAAACTTTGAACAAAGATTGATATCTTAACATTCCTGTTGATTCGACAAATTTTTTGTACTTATTAATTACATCACATTAATTAATAGTTAGAACTATTGTGTATGATGTAGAGAACAGCTCATTGTTATTATTTCAGTAATTTTTTCTATATAAAAGTGAAAAGATGATATTATGGAAAATTTCAGAACATTTTAATTATGTATTAAAAATAAATAAAATTTGTAAACAGAATTTTTTTAAAAGATTAACTTTTATTTTAGTAAATATTATTAATAATTACAAATAATTAATAGATAGTATTGTGTTAAGTATAAAATTATCACTTCAAATTTTACTACTAAAGAATAATTTTAATTTTGTATAAATTTTAATTATTTATATTGTCATTTTGATTTAGTTCTTGATTTTCTTTTGGTAAATTAGATTCTATTTTTTCTGTAACATTAAAAAAATTGTCTTTATTTTCTGATTTTACAATCCCTAAAGAATTTGAAAAATTTTCAGATTTTCCATTCTCATTTACGACAGTATCTTTACTCTCATCTCCTTGCATTGTATTTATGTTCACTGGCATATCACCTCTTTGTCTAAATGTGCTGCCACTACTTATTACATTACTAACAGCTTCTACTCCTGTATCTACGTGTGGAAACTCTGGACTTCCTGGTATTCGAATATGAGTTCCTCCACCTGTTCCTGTACCTCCTCCTATTCCACCTCCATGGATTATGTTTTCTTCAGCTGATATGCTTGGAAATCTACCTTCCACAGGTGATACTGAATCTTCTCTGATTATAGTAGTTTTATCCTTCAATTCTGCAATGAGAAGAAAATTACCATAAATATTTATACAAATATGAAAATTTAAAGTAATCATTATTATTGAAAATCATTTCATAATAATAAAGCAATAGATGTTCAGGTTTTAAATTAATGTTTTTATAATTTCAATTAATAATTAAATAATATATATATATTATTTAATTATTAAATAAATATGTATATATTAAAAATTAATATGGCATAATTTTGAGAAATAGTTGGATAAATAAAGAAAATGAACAATCTAGAGAAGGAGTCTCCATCTCTAACCTTTTACTGAGAAGGACTGCATAAGCTATAAAAGACAAGTCTGGGGGCCAGGTATGGAAGATATAGTCAAAGATTAAGTTTAATTTTAAGTTATTTTTGAAGAAAATAACTTGAGACTAAACGTAGATTGTAATATTAATAATGTAAAGAAGTCTCATCTAATCTGAGTAATTAAGATTAAGATATTTTATTTTCAAATAACAACAGACCAATCAATATAAAAATTGCAATTACTTTTTCAAAAGAATGTCATCAAAACTGGGGATAAATTTTTGTTGCACTCAATATTAAAGTTTCCTTTACGTATTCATTGGAAAATGATATTCAATATTTTGATTTTATATGTTTCATTTTCAAAAAGTTTTGTTTGCAAAGATACATGGAAGCAAAAATAGAAAATATCCCTATGCAAACCTAAGATTTAAAATTCTCTTCTGGCAGAGATTTGTAAAAATTTAACAAACTCCCTTCTTTAGATAGGTTTTTATAAAAATCATTTGCAGCAAAGTCTATAAATTTTAGTTGACTTTTCAAAAAGTTTATATGCTTTGAATTAGTTCAAATGTTAATGATAAAATAAGTTATGTGGGCAAAATAAATATGGTATAAGATGTTCAATGCAAAAGAAATTACAATAAAGTGTAATATCCAAGGAACAACTTTAATTTTGCAGTAGAACAGATTATTTGCAGGTCTTAAATTAAAAAACCTTTGTACATGAATAATGGAATGCATATAAATTAACACTGTAAAAAAACCTTAATAGTCCAGTACTAAATATTTAATAGAAAACAAACGTTTGTTTTCTATTAAATATTTAGTACTGGACTGTTAAGGATTTTTGAGTGTTAATTAATATATTTACAGGTCCCAATCTTTATACACTTCCCAGGTCTCTCTGTGATAACAATACAACAAATAATTACTTTGCGTAATTGATTTTGTAACAATTACCAAGCTGATACTATTAATATACAATAATACATATCCTACAATCACAGATCAATTCTTAACCTAACTTAAAAACTAATTGAAAGATAGATGGAAGGAGGAAAGATTGATAGGTCAGAGGGTAACCAATTTCTCGGTGAATAACTTGATATGAATTCTCTAAAATCCTCTAAAATCAATCAATAGGATGCATCTAAGTGTAAATCAGGATAGAGAGTTTTTACATTATAGTATAGCCCAATTTTTTGAGTTCAGAAGATTTTTACAATTTAAGATGGTTTAACATACAAATAATCTCTCACTGTAAAGGATAAAGACAACATTGCAGAAATTAATGCAAAAGTAAGATTTATTTTGATAGAGAACATGTTAAAAATAACTGCCTTCAACAGTAATACAGAGATGTAGATAGATGCAACTCTTCAGTTTGCCAACATCAATGGCACTGCTGGGTACGCATCATACACTGATCCTTTTAGGTGACTCCACAGGAAAAAAATCCACAATGGTCAAGTCTGGCAAATGTGATATCCAAGGAATAGGATTTTTTTTATCCTACCCAGAAGTTGACAAACTGTTTTGTAAGCCACTAATTCATGTCTGCCTAGAATGAAGCCTAGCTAATGAATGTCTGCCTAGATTATCATGTTGATATCAAACTTGCTGTAGTTACAACAATGGCAAGTCATCAAACCATTCATCCATCATTGAGTTTGGAATGTCCAGATATCAGTCACTATTCATGAACTCTGTATTCACTGTTGTCAACAATGAATGGACTAAAAAGCTGCTCACTCCAAATTCTACACCAGATATTTAGAGTAAATGCACTTGGTTTGCATAGGTCAAGTGCATCATGGAGCATGTACTGCAAAGTGGTACACAATGTGTACCACTTTGCAGTACATGCTCCATTCTGGAAAACAGTGCTCTGTCAGTCCATAAAATTTGCTGAAGGAGTGATTGCAGGCACTTGTTTCCAAGTTACTTGATTGTATCATGCTCAAGTTTGGACAATTCAAATTTTTTTCAATTCATCAAGAAAATGTTCTTTCGATTGTTTTTAATTGGGAGAAAAAACTGAAATGTTGTATCTGGTGATCTTATGGGAGCTGTAGCTAGGACACTTATCAGAAAAGAGGCTAAATTATTGGGGTTTTTTTTAATCGAAATGGAGCTTGGTTCTTTAGGGGCAGAAGAGGATAAGAGGAGAAAATATGTTATTGGTTAGCTGACCAATTTTGCTGATAGTTATGCTGTTGTATTTTGGAATTTGAAAACTCTATGATTTTTATTGTGTGATAGAAGTATTATACAACTGTTGGGTGATCCCTATATATATATATTCCATTATCTATAAATTTGCCAAGTGGATTGCATGCTAGTTTCCTTTACAATTATTTGATTATCCCAATTCTGTTTTTCTAGTTCAGCTAGAATAGGAGATAATGGGGAGCCCATTGGCACCCCTTGTGTTTGTTTATATATTTTTCCATTAAATTGGAAATAATTATTTTGAGTAATAAGGTGAAGAGCTTCACGTAGGTGTAAAACATGTGATGCTGGGTAACTAGAATTGAGGAATAGGGCATTTGCCAGCATGATGGCCTCAAAATATGGAACAGAAGGATATAAAGGAATATTAAATTAAATTTAATTTAATTTTGATCCAATTTTAATCCAATTAAATTGAACTCAATATTCCACAAGAAAATCCAAACAAAGCAAAATATACAAGCTGCCATCTTCATACCGGGCCACCATGAACCCAGGCCTCCTGACTAGGATATGATCAGTCACTACCATGTGGGGGCCATTTTGTTGGCACTTGAAAAAGAAATAGGCATTTATAAATTTAAAAAGTGTTGATGTTTTAATTAAGTGAAGGATAAATGTAAATAACTTCTGGTAATAAAAAAATGCCATATTTTTGGGTAATGGTGGAATTCAAATAATTTCAAGGGTAATATTCAGGGTAATGGTGGAATTCAAATAATTTAACAACTGGTTTGCTGCTCTGGTGATCATTTTAAGTATAAAAAACAATACTTATTTATTTATTGTGCACTTTCGGGTAAAGTGGATGCACATTGGTCAAAATGGAGAATGATCATTTCGATACTGATCTATTTATTGATGAAATCCAAAAGATATCAGCCATCGTGAAATGACTTTATAGACATTCTAAAATAATTAAAAAACTTGGGTTCATATTGTCTTAGTTTTGGATACAATGTCACAAATATTCCATGCATCAGTCTAACTTGTAATATTGGGTGCACCCAAAATTCTCTTTCCCTCTGCCATTGTATTTTATAGTAACGATAGAGGAGCCACATACAAGCAATTACTTTCACATCCATTTCAAAACTGAGCCAGTGTGAATGATTGTCGAACACCAAGCTAAATGCATAGTGTGTACGCTGCTAATGTGCATTTAACGCAATACCCAACGCCTAATGTGTACTTGCCCTTAAGAAAGGCTGAAATTTTTATCATTTTTCATTCTTTTTTAATTTCATATAAAGCAGCATTAAAATATAGTTTGCATTCAACTTGTAAACTTTGTCACAGCATGAATAGTCAAATTTTATGAGTAGATATTATAGAATAACTACACTAATTTTTTAGTATACATTAAAAATGATTGAATTTATGAAAGTCTAAAATATATTTTACAGCATAAATATTTATTCTTATATACATATAAATTATTATTATTATTTAAAAATTATAGCAAAAATATAATTTACCAAGAATTTTTGGTAAAAGTTCCTCCAAAATTGTAACTCGAGCTTCAAGTGTATCTAATTCATCTCGAAGTTTTTGTAATACTTCTAGAAGAGCCTTTTGTAAATAAAAGTAATAATTAATCTAAATTAAATCAACATTTTAAAATTTTAAAATGTTAATTTTAACAATAAGTTTTAAAATTTATTAAAATTAAGATATATATATTCAGAGCTAGTTCAATTAGTGGACTTTGTAGAGCATTTAGTCTTAATCTCCATATATCAAAGGTCCCCATCCTTCAACATAACAACTTTAATGCTAATAAAATATTAAATACAGAAAAAATCACTGAAAGATAAATAATATAATTATGAGAAACAAAATATATACAACTAAACATTACATATATATTTATCTTTAAAACGTTGATAGAAGTGGGAAGAAAACCAAATAATAATCTAACTATAAATAATTATCTAGAAATACAGTTTTTTAGAAATCATCTTTAGGAATACAATAAAAATAGGAATTAGAGTATGCGTAAAAGAATCCTATTTGCTATAGTACAGCTTGAAGAAGATTGAAATGGACAGATTCTATTTTTAAAGTAAGATGGATAATTTATTTCATCATTATAACACCAAGAAATCTTTCTTATATTTTTATGCTTTAAATTCCATAAATATTTAATTTGCTAGTACTTCAAAAACTATATATAATTCTATATATACATATTTTCATTATGTTTATGATGTTATTTTATGTGTAAAGAGAGGGAGAGATTCCTATGTACATTATTGTAATCTTTTAATTTTAGACTTGTAAACTTTATATATACAATAATAATAATTGTATTTATAAAGTGTAAAATAATTATACTGATATGAATATATAACAAATGTTAATTTAATAGCTGTAGAAATATTGTTAAATATATTACATTATTTTATAATTAATTATGAAATAACATATTTCAATGTAAGCTTACTACTGGTAATGATGTATCCTCTGTCAATTCCAAGTCTGGTAGATCTAAATTAAAAGGTACAAAATTAAAATACTGTACAGTTTCAAATTTTAATTAAATTCATTAAAACTTCTAAATAAGATATGAAAAAGAAATCTAGTTTACTTTTTCTTAATAGATTATTATGACAATATTTTAATCAACTGATCATAAAATATCTAATATTAGATCAACTTTATAATATAAATTAAGAATTTTAAACTTTTAAAATGAATTACACTTCATGCTTACATTTAACTATGCAAAATAAATACATTTAAGTGTTGTGGCATTACTGTTTGCAACTATTTAGAGCATAAAAGGCATTCGCTAGTACTTTCAGTAGCATAAAGCTACCATCTTCAGGTGAATATCAAATACAAATATTTTTCAAACAATTAGCTTTTGCACAAACTTATAAAATAAGTGGTGTGCATGGATGGAATACAGAAATTGAATTTAAAATAAAAGATGTTCTAAAGTGTGAAAAGCATTATGAATGTTATTATATCCGTTCACTCAATTGCTTTTATAATATATTTGGCATAATATATTAAAAAAGCAATTGAGTGAATGGTATGAACATGCAATAAAAGAGAATTTGAATTATAAATTAAATTGCTTGAATAAAGTTATCCACAATTGTGGAATTTCAAGGGTTGGTATGTTGCATGGTGTTATGGCGGCAATGTATAGGTTCTCCCATACGAACAATTCTTTACAATTTTGCACCATTTGAGTAATTTGGTTTGGGCCCAGAGGGGAAGATAATCTTGGTCAAGCACTTTTTTAGCTAATTTGGTTGATGGTCTATTATTTCTAATGTCCTCCTGATGTTCTAGGATGTGAGAGCTTAGCATTCTAGCTGTGGTCCCTACATAGCTTGTTTCCTCTCCTGAGAGTGCATATTCTAATGGGATTTGATATACAACAGATTTTTCATTCAAATTAAGAATATCTCTGTCATTGCACAATAGTCTTCTTAGTGTTGGTTGTGGGGTTATAGGTAATATAAAACCATTCTTTCTAAAAAGATGTGCTATTTTTAGTGAGATTGGGCCTAAGTATGATATTGGAGGATGTGTTATTTTTAGTTTCTCTTTGTTACTAAGAAAGGACTGCAGAAACAACTTATCATTGACATGATTTTGGACAAAGTGAAACTTAGAGAATAACCCGCATTTAACATTACAGTTATATTTTAAATTTTAAAATTTAAAATATAACTGTAAAATGGGACCAAGATGGTTCAGACTATGGTTGCAAGATAGCAAAAGAATTGTTTATTTGTGATTATGTTTAGCTATTTCTATTATTTACTTTTTTATTTCCATTACCCTAAATTCAAAAGTTCATTTGTTATACTTTTATTATTATTTAAAACTTTCATTTACCAATTTGCAAAATCATGGTGATAAATATGAAATATAATCCTAAAAATGAATGCATTTATAAAAATATTTGTGAATTTAATAATGATAAAAAGTATTTATATTAAGTTATAAATAAATTATGAGATTTGGAAAAATGAATAAATAAAAATTACCTGTATTGTCTAATCTACTTTCTCGGATTCCAAAAATTGATGGGCCAGGAGGACCTGGTGGTCCTACTGCACCAGGTGGTCCAGGAAGTCCAACAAGACCTGTATCACCAGGACGACCTGGCGGTCCTTCAGATCCTTGATCACCTTTTGGACCTGGTGGTCCTGGAATTCCTGGCTGGCCTGGAAGTCCTCTTAACCCAGGAAGACCATCTTTACCTGGAAGACCTATAAAAAAAAATTAAAAAAATGTTGCTAATAAATTTGATTAATATTTTGATTAAATATTTTCTACATGCTATTCTAAATTAAATTTATGTTATTTATTTCAAAATAAGATGATAAAGTACTTACATAATATCTTATATCATCAATAAAAAATTTAATAATAATGTTAAATTACATTTTTAATATGTTTACAACAGATCAAAAAAATGAAATACAAGAAAAGAAATGAGTAATATTCTGTGCAAATACATTTCTTAACATAAAATAAATCATTGGAATAACAAAAAAACTAGAAATGAAAAAAATCAGATGTGTAATGATCTTTAATCTTGAACCTAATTTTTTTATACATGAAATAATTCAAATTTTTCTGCCTTCATTACTATTCAATAAGTGCATCAAAGTAATGGAGTCAAGCAAATAAAAAGCATGTATCATTGCTATTATGAATAAGTAGATATTTTAATGGCCTTGTAAACGTGAGGTTGCTGATATTTGCTAGGAAATCATATCGCATCAAAATGAGTAAAAAAAAAGTTTAATCAAACATACTAAAACACGGTTTCAGAAAACAAAAACAAGACATTAAACCTTTTTCCCACCATCAAATGTTTAAATGCATAAATCAAAATGTTTAAACATTAATATTTGTTTTATTTTACTTTTCATACATGTATTTAATTTAAATTTTTGTTTTTTATTTCTGAAATTTCATTTAAAAGTATTTTCTGGCAAGTGTTTCCTGAAATGGACTTTTTGAAGATGTAACAGTAAGAGTATTTTATGAAAATTTTTATGGTTGAACCCTGAAATGATGAAGGTTTCTTGCCACCAGGAACTTTCATATACAGTCGACCCCCCTATAAGATCGTTGATTTTTCCGTTTTATCTGAATTACATGTTGTACGAGTCACTTAGATTTTACAAATATGTGAGCCGTTCACAGCCCCGCACACGTATTTGTAAAATCTAAGTGACTCGTACAACATGTAATTCAGATAAAACAGAAAAATCAACGATCTTATAGGGGGGTCGGACTGTATCCGAATACGTGCCGTGTACAGAGCAGTAAAAATGAATTGCCAATGTGAAGTGCAAAACCAAAACGAAAATTTTCATATACAATTGATAAGGTAAAATATATACAGGCTAAAGCTATTGTGGAGCAAATCTTTCTTTCTCCAATGTATTTTCACAGGGATTTTCTTTGTCAATGCTTAGTTGATACATGTGGAGTTTACCTCTTTTTACATACATCACACTCTCTCAAAGTCTAGCCAAAAATAACAAAAACCCTCTCCCTTTCATCACATGAATCCTCTCCTTTCAAATTGGTCCACAGACCCATCCACACCCCATAGCCTCAGGACAAGGGATGCCTAAAGTGTGATAATGGTCACTTGACCATACTTCTCTACATGTAAAGTTCTGTATTCATAATATCTTTTATATTTAACTTTTTCAATATATAATAAACTTTTCTGTCATAAATTTTTGGATTATTATAATGTAATCCAAGGAATAAAAAGCTGTATGATATATGTAGCAAATATAATTAGTTTTGCTTTTGTAAAATTTATTTTTTTATAAATATTACTAGAAAAAATTTATTAGCAATAATTTTATAATACTATACAGAAAATAATTTTTTGTACCTTGTCTGCCTTCAAGCCCTGGCAATCCAGGTTCACCAGGTGGTCCAGGTGAACCAATTTGAATTTTTGTCTTTTCATCAATATTTTGATCATATAACTTTCCAGGAGGTCCAGGATATCCTCTTTCACCACGAGGACCTTGAAGCCCAGGAATTCCAGATTCTCCCTTAAGTCCTCGTTCACCTTTTTCACCAGGTATTCCTTGTGGTCCCCTTTCTCCAGGATAACCAATTTGACCAGGTGGACCTTGAACACAAGGACATTCTGTTCCAGTAGAAATTGTGAAAGTTTTTGTTGTTTTGTGTGAAGGATTATCAGGAAAATCAGATTTAAAATTATCATTTTCTTCTGGAAGAATATTATAAGTGATTGTTGGATTTGATACTTCTGGATTCAAATTATTTCTGAAAACCTTCAAAAAATAAATATATATTTTTTATCGAAACATACTAAATAATAGATTTTCTAAAATACAGGTAACCCCCGTATAACACGGTAGTTACGTTCCAAAAAATTGCCGTGTTATGCGAATCCGTGTTATACGAAACAAAGAACTAATACGAAAAGGAGGGTTAGGTTCCAAAAATTAAAAAACATGCTACTATATTTTCATAATTAAGATAAATATCTTCATTAAAATTTTTTTAAGTGATACATATTAATATAAATTAAACAATGTTTTCTTCGTCATCACTAAAAACACTATTAATTAACCGAGAGCGTTTTCTTTTTGGCAAGTTATCCTTATCCTCTGAGCATTTTTCTGCATTATCTTCAGATCCATGCTTTACCTTTTGCAAAATGTATGTAATTTTAGATTGCTTGCTTCTAGTTAAAAGGTCTTTATAAATTTCCTTATATGGTGCTAAGCACTTATGAAGAATAAAGCAAGTATGGAATAAGGGAAAAACATTCGGCAACATCAGAAGCAGAAGCGTCGCGATCTGGCAACATTGAAACAAGTTTCGAGAAGGACCACGTGTATCGACAGAAGGCGAGAAGAGAAAATTTACATACTTAAGTACTAATAGTTCACGAAAATAATAATTTTCGTGAACTATTATTACTTAAGTATGTAAAAATTTATTACATTTCCTGTTGTACGAGGGTTTTACCCAATTCTCGAACCATGTCAGAGTGAATCCGTGCTATAAAAGTACCGTGTTATATGGGGGATGGTACCACTCAAACTGTGTTAGAGTGAATCCGTGCTATAGAAGTGCCGTGTTATACGGAGGTTACCTGTATTTGAAAAATTTCTCTTATATTACTAATTTTTCATTTAGATGTATTTCCATTTAATAATACTGAAATTTATTAAGTAATAAGCAGTGTTTTGTTCTTTTTTACTTATTTTTTTTGTTTAAACGTTTTTTTTTATCTTTAATTAATAATAATATGTCATAGAAAAGAATATATGCTGATTTTTATTCACAAACCTAGTTAATAAACTTTTACTGTAACAATTATAATAAATATATTTTCATTTAAATTTACATTTTTTTAAAATTTTAAGATTCTACTTCTCTATCCATGGTAGAGAATAGAAGCTTAAAATTTGTTTCAGGGTGGTTAGATAAGTTATTGATAATTAAGGACTGAAATTTAATGCTACATTGTAATTAAACTTGAAAAAGAAATTAATTACCTTTGTTTCTAAAGAAGACAATCTTTTCTCTAGTTGTTCAAATTTAGTACAGTTGAAACAACCTAAATGAAAAGTACAACAAAATAATTATCTTTTAATTATTCATCAAAGTTTTATTGAACTTTTCAGTTTTTCTCGAAATTTAATTCAGTTCTTTCCATTATATAGATTAGGGATCACCGAACTTTTTTCACAGTGTCCAGATAACTGAGAGAATGACGAGCACGGGTCGTATAACCATTTTGTTCAATACAGTACATTGAATACACAAAAAATAAAGACAACTAGCATATTTATTTACCAATACACAAATATGATGGCTACAATTGCTTTCCTTAGAAACTTCATTGCATGTATTTATACAAAAAGCGCTCTGATATCCAAAGTCGCAAAAAGTCGCCAAATTTTTTTATTTCACTGATTTATCTAAAAATTATATTACTGTCAGATGCAAAAATCAGGTTGGACCATTTTGGCATTTTTACTTACACTTATTTTTATTTTTTTATATACAGTAGAACCTCGAAAACTCGGCTCTCGATAACCCGGCACTCCAGATAACTCGGCCACACCCTGGCAGGACAAAAAAATCCTTAGTTAATTAATTATAAAAGTATAAAAGCTCTCATAAAGTATTTTTCTGAGGTCTGTCTTATCAGGTAAATTACTGTACACAGTGTATTCATTAATTTTCATTTTCATATAGTAAAGGCTCTATGCCTTCATAAAGTATGTACTTTTCCTTTGTTTAAGGGTATTTGGGCAGTTTATTCTCTGTTGTATTCTCCAGCAAACAATACATACAAGTACAGTACACTATTTTCTGAGGAAACACGCATACTTATCCTTTTTTAACCCCATTCCCGATAACCCGGCATTTTCACAAACTTCGGTCCACATTAGGGCGAGTTTTCAAGGTTCTACTGTAGTAAGTTTATCTACAATCTATGATATTTCCATATAAATAATTGCATTTTAACTCATTTGTGGCACAGTGCAGCAATGGGCCGTAGTTTGGTGACCCCCTCATATAGACATAATGAAATGAATTTCTTGAGTATTCAATTTTTCTTCACTTTCCCAGAACATCTTTCTAAAAGCAAGCTTTGATTTTTTTCTATCAATGAGCAGCAAAAATAATTTAGAAAATTCTGGAAGAAAAGTATCAGCACGAGTATAATTCATACCAGCAACATGCATTACTCCAGTTACATTATCTAGACCTCTGTCCAATCCCTCTCTCTTGGAGACATATTTAATTTAGATATAACTATCATAGGTAACTTACGCTGCTGACTGGGGAAAACTCTTTTCACACTGTCTATAATCATCCACTATGACACTCAGCTGATTTTAACCCAGTATGATGTATATACACACATATATAAACATCTCAAAGCCCTATATTCATAATAAAGCCAAATGACTTCTAGATTAAATCAGGCTATTTTACCACTATTTTACTACTATTAATAATTAAATTAATATTAAATAGTTTAGAAATCCCATTCTTTTCTTCCAGAATTTTATAAATTATTTAATAGGAATTTAATTATTAAATTTAAGCAGCATTAATTTAATAGTTAACTCAAATAGTAAATTTTATATTTGAAACATTTAAGAAAATAATAGAAACTTGATATATTTTTAAAATAGTTTAAATATTCTTCATTTGAAATATAAATATACTCATTCATAAAAAAATTATGCACCAAGGAATAGGCATTGGAATTGCATACAAGTACATAGGTAAGGATGATGATGATGATAAGTGATTGCAATATCATACCAAAGGGACAATTTCCTGTGAGACAATAGTATTGTGAGATCCTGGAGACAAGGACTAAATTTATTTAATAATGTCAAAAACTAAAATATTATTTGGTCGTTAAAAACAACAAATTTTTATATTTTTGAGAGAAAAAGCTTGAGAAAAGGGAAATCAAATTTCCTTTCTCGACTGACAATTTCCCGTGGCAAGATGTTATTGCAAACTTTTGATGAACATCTGGCGGATCGACTCATCAGTTCATCCTGTCATGTGATACAAATTTGAATGGCTGATTGGAGAAAACTTAGAATAAAAAGAGCAGAAATTGCAGTCTCCGCGCAGACTGCCATAGAAGGAAGAAACTGCCAAAAAAGGAATGGACTCCCACATAGAAGAGTGTGGAGCAAAGTCCCATCCATCAACCCTCTCCAGCCCATCTCCATCTCCATTCATCTCCGAAAGCAACTCCCTGCAGATATATGGAAGACATCTACCAATTTTAAGAGGTATCATGTTCTTGTTTATGTAAGCTCTCTCTCTCTCTCTCTCTCTCTCTCGGTATTTAGAAGTGTACGTAGTTAGATATCAATATAATGATAGATTATACTTTTATGTATTTCCTTATTATATTCGTTAAACTTTTGTTTGTTATTTGTTAATCTGTCTGTTCACTTGTTCCAATATGGAAACGGATGCCTATTGATGAACTTACCCACGACTCTCCCACTCAACATTAGTTAAAGCCCTCCTATTGAAAGCCATCCAGTGACAGTTGAGTGGGTCCTACTGACCTGAAGCCACTAAAAGGAGATCTGAGCACTCCTCTTGACACTGGATTCTCACAGTATAATTTAAAAGAATCTTTAGCATCTTGTATGATCACTTGTCTGGATAAATGAAGTGATATAGGCAGACATGTAGGCATACAAGCAGTAAAAGCAGTTAAAATCTAGTAATTATTATTTTAATATTATCATTAAAATAATTACCTTGTTGACAATTTGGACCAGAATATCCAGGGCAACATTTCCACACAGTTTCATTCACTGTCTTGTAAGTAATTATATATTTAGGACGTCTAAGTATTCTAGGAAAATAAAATAATAGTAATTAAATTAATAAAATTATTGAAAAAAATAAGCAAAATGAATCAAATTTAACAAAAAATGATCAGATTATAATAAGACTATTTTACAAAATTAAATAGTTTTTGTCATCACGTATAATATTTAGTTATTTTCCAATATAAATGAATATAATTGAAGATTATTTTCTGACAATTCTTTTAGTCTTATAATTTCAATATTATAAATATTTAAATGGATTTCAATCACCATGGCTCTCGGCTGAGCTGAACTAAGATGCACAGATATCTGGTGTACTGCCAACCAAGTTTCCCATTTGTTTTGACTGTGGTTGAGCTGGATATATCTAATGTTACTGCTGAAATTGTTCTCTGAACAGATCCCACCAGCTGTTGTCTCATCATGATCAGTTTACATTGCTCCCTGCTACCAAGAAATGCTGAAAGTTAGCCACCCAGAGACATTGGAAGAGCCCTCCAATGCTTATTGGCCTCTTGCTTGGCAACCACAAATTCCAAGCCTGAGAGACAACAAATATTAACACTTTACCAATTTTTGTCATCATTGTCCAGATCTACTGGCTGTTGCTGCTTGTCAACTGCTGGTAAACTAAATTGAGTACCCTTTGGAGGTAGGGATGACTTATCTTACCGATATCCTCTAACAAACTATCATCTCACCTTCCAATGTGTCCATCCATTGTTGACTTCATAAAAGCACAGACTCTTATTGACATGGGAATCACTGTTTCCTTAATGTCTGATGAACTTCAATGGAAGTTATATAAGGTTTTAACTGAAGTATCACCAAACATCTCCAAAACTGAAAGTGTCACCAATTGGTTTTTTGAAAGAAATACTGTTAATAATCCTCAGCCAGTTAACTGCCCGGATACAAGATAACTCCTCAGTCATCCCATCAAATTTCATTTTCAATTTAGCAATCATGATCCAATCCTTTGATGAGACTTTCTACAGAGAACCAATGCCCTTATTGATTACAGAGTTATAAACTCATCCAAATAAAATCAGCTGCCAAATTATTGCCAATGCTTATATATACCATAATGATAATAACTAACTAGTAACATTAAGCAGGGTAAGTAAATAAAGCCATTGTTAGTGGAAATTGGTTCTGGATAAGGTGTAGCAATTAAACTGAACTTTACTAAAGTAATCAATTTTTTTATAAATTATATAATTCTTTACAATAACAAAATACCATACTAAAATGTGTACAAATAGATATACAATTACAATTTAGATACAAGAGTTCTGATTTTATTTAACTTGTAACGTGTCACGTCTCCGAGTGCTGGAGCACTCAGAGAAGTGACACATTACAAGTTACGAGGCATGCGGGGGAGGCCGTCAAGTTGGGAGAAGAGGGGAGGGGAGGGGAGGGGAGTGGGAAGTACTGAAGGTGCCTGACTGATACTGTATACACAAGTCACAATCTATCAATGTAAGACTGAAGAGGGGCGAGAGCCCGAAATACATATCTGTATGAATTAAAAGTGGATGATGAAATTATTTGCCAAATGTCGATAAATGCACCAAGTTGTGACATAGAATTAGAAGTTCTGATTTTGTTCATAAACAATTCCATGTTTTATTTTATAAAATACATTAAAGTTTATTAGTTTATTGCTTCATTGTTTCCTGAGAATAATAAACATGAAATTGCTTATAAATTTTTGATTATGCTCCATGTAATAAAAAGTATATGGGTGGTGTTCTGTGGCCTCTGAAATGTTAATAACCACTAGTGTATATTGTGAGCTAACAAGAAAATATAATAAATACCAGTTATATATACTAGAATAAAAATCTTTGCAAAAATTCTTCAAACACACCATTATTCCTGTTGTTATTTTTCCTTCTATTCTTAATGATATTCCTCATCTCTCTTTTTAAATTTGAATCTTTTGGGAACTTGTGCATTGTAATATATTTTAATTTCTCTTGTTACTATAATGAAAAACTAAACAACATTGACAAAATTTTGATTTTGTTTTTACTGATACATATAGTTTAATATGACTTTATCCCAATTGCTAAAATTTATAAAATGGCACATGATGTCAGTTACTTTCTTTTTGACTGTACTCAATATGGTGTAATAAAATTTCTCTATATATGCAAAAACATTGGATTAAAATGTTATTATTACAGTAAATAAATGTTTTAAACACATTTTAACATTTTCTGTTAACTTTTAATTTTGCACATTTATCTAGGCAATCATCTGGGACTATTTGGTATGAAGCAAAAATTTGTGTGGAATTTTATGCGGTAACTACTGACATACAACCCGTACCTAACACCAGACCATGCTGTACTTATATAAATAAAGAATGAAACAATTTCTGTTAAATTTCACTTACCTATATGTACCTCCGCACGTTTCTGGATAAGGCCAATACCAACATCTTTGCCAATGGCGACCAATAAATGTTTCTGTTCCATTGGGTTCTTTGCATGTTACTGTTTTAGAAACTTGATAGGAACACCAGTTTCTATATCATATAAACAAATTAAAATACAGTAATACTATATAATAATGTATTAACTTTTAATCTTATAATCATTATACATTAGTGTATCACATAACATTAAAAAATATCAGTATTAACTAATATTTAATATTTCATAAATGAGTTATTATTTTAAAAGCATGTAACATGAGTACTATTTGTTTTTATCTATGACATTTCTTTTATAGAAATTTTATTACAAATGTGTTTAAATAAAGTACCATGAAAGTTTTACACCTTTTATCATTTCAGGAGTATAAAGTTTCATTTGACATACTATAATTTGAACTGTATGCAAACTAATAAATTGTCACCAATTTACAGTCAAAGATTGCTGTCAAGCTCTCAAGAGATTTAAAAGGGAGGAGTATGATGAGGATACTCTGGAAGAAACAATGCTGCATAGCTCATTCTTTTTACTAATGAAAGTCTAATAGAACTTTATCCAAAGCCCATCTTTGGGCACAGTTTTAAGACAGTGTTTTTTGCCATCTATATCCAAAAACTCAAGCACAACTAATAAATGGATTATAGAATGAATGGCTACTATTTCTGGTGGTCAGTCATTTAATCCAGATTTCTTCCAGGATTAGTGATTGTTTAGTTAAACATAGAGGGTTTACAAAGTATTAATTGTTAATATTGTAATCGGTAATATTTAAAAATATATAACCACATACTTGACAAATAAATTAAGTTTTGAAAATACTTAAGGGTTCAAAACTTTCAGAGTATCTTTTATACTTAATTTTATCAGTATTTATAATATTATTTAGAAGTATAAGTTATAAAAATTATATACTCTAAATAATAAACTGTGTTAACATTTACAAGTAAATAAATTCAAAAATTAAATTTAAACTTTTTAATCTATAAATGTTTATATTCTAAATAAAATAAATTAAAGAACACTTGGTGATGGTCAGAAATTTTAGAAGGGAATACAACAAACAAACTTAAGAAGTATCAAATGGCTATGAATTCCTATAATGAGCAGTCAATTATCTATCCAACATTCAACCATTGATTGTTCATTAAATTATTCTTATTCAAAATTCACTGGTTTGTCTGTTATTCCCATCTCAAACTCACTATGTGAACTCTCAATTCAATATTCAAAAATTGAGAGCTCACACACTAGATTCTCAGCCCAATAATTCTTCAACTGATTGACAGTTCCAATCTTGTCTTCTATAACTTCTTGGAGTTATGATCATGTCAATCTTTTGTGTGCCAATATCTTCAGTTATCACTAATCAAATGTTAAATTTCACCATGAAATAAATAGTTTTATATGATATCCATATATTTTAAATACTGTACATGATTAACAATTGCTGGTAAGGGTTTACCACTGATTTTCCAGCATCTCTTTTAATCTGAACAAAATTATGATAGAGCATATAAACATTCTGCACTGCCAACCTTGTTCACTGAATGTCCACAGTTGGCTTTCTTTATGGCTCCTATTCACTTGGATTATCTACTTCGGTGGTTTCCAAATTTTTCTGCATGCACCTCGTGGCTGCCTTGATTCGATAAACTAGATCCCTACTCTTCATAAGTTTCTTTAGAATATCGGTTTCAAGACTTACATTCAGAAAAAATTAAATTTAAAACAGCAAAAATTACAGTCGACCCCCCTATAACACTGATGATTATTCCTTTTTATATGAATTCCATGTTGTATGAGTCACTTAGATTTTACAAATACGTGTGCTGGGCTGTGAACGGTTCACATATTTGTAAAATCTAAGTGACTCGTACAACATGGAATTCATAGTGTTATAGGGGGTCGACTGTAATTGCATATCTAATTAAAAGCAAAATGTTCCGTCACACACAAATAACATAAATTTAAAAATTAATTTGATTTACAATTTTAAAATTTCAAAACAACTTTTAAATGCTTTTTAAAAACATTATTTTAATTTTTGTTTGAGTTTATTTTTAATGATAGTTTTAGTTTTGGTTTCAATTTTGGTGTAAAGGCCATTTTTAGTTTATATTAATTAATTTTTAGGTTTAATTTATTTAGTATTAATTTAGTTTTAGTTTTTATAATTATTTTTAATAATTTTTATTTATTTATGNGAATTAGAAACAGCATAATTATTCTAAATAAAATAAATTAAAGAACACTTGGTGATGGTCAGAAATTTTAGAAGGGAATACAACAAACAAACTTAAGAAGTATCAAATGGCTATGAATTCCTATAATGAGCAGTCAATTATCTATCCAACATTCAACCATTGATTGTTCATTAAATTATTCTTATTCAAAATTCACTGGTTTGTCTGTTATTCCCATCTCAAACTCACTATGTGAACTCTCAATTCAATATTCAAAAATTGAGAGCTCACACACTAGATTCTCAGCCCAATAATTCTTCAACTGATTGACAGTTCCAATCTTGTCTTCTATAACTTCTTGGAGTTATGATCATGTCAATCTTTTGTGTGCCAATATCTTCAGTTATCACTAATCAAATGTTAAATTTCACCATGAAATAAATAGTTTTATATGATATCCATATATTTTAAATACTGTACATGATTAACAATTGCTGGTAAGGGTTTACCACTGATTTTCCAGCATCTCTTTTAATCTGAACAAAATTATGATAGAGCATATAAACATTCTGCACTGCCAACCTTGTTCACTGAATGTCCACAGTTGGCTTTCTTTATGGCTCCTATTCACTTGGATTATCTACTTCGGTGGTTTCCAAATTTTTCTGCATGCACCTCGTGGCTGCCTTGATTCGATAAACTAGATCCCTACTCTTCATAAGTTTCTTTAGAATATCGGTTTCAAGACTTACATTCAGAAAAAATTAAATTTAAAACAGCAAAAATTACAGTCGACCCCCCTATAACACTGATGATTATTCCTTTTTATATGAATTCCATGTTGTATGAGTCACTTAGATTTTACAAATACGTGTGCTGGGCTGTGAACGGTTCACGTATTTGTAAAATCTAAGTGACTCGTACAACATGGAATTCATAGTGTTATAGGGGGTCGACTGTAATTGCATATGTAATTAAAAGCAAAATGTTCCGTCACACACAAATAACATAAATTTAAAAATTAATTTGATTTACAATTTTAAAATTTCAAAACAACTTTTAAATGCTTTTTAAAAACATTATTTTAATTTTTGTTTGAGTTTATTTTTAATGATAGTTTTAGTTTTGGTTTCAATTTTGGTGTAAAGGCCATTTTTAGTTTATATTAATTAATTTTTAGGTTTAATTTATTTAGTATTAATTTAGTTTTATTTTTTATAATNTTTAACTTCTAACGTGTCACTTCTCCGAGTGCTGGAGCACTCGGAGAAGTGACACGTTAGAAGTTATGAGGCATGCGGGGGAGGCTGTCAAGTTGGGAGAAGAGGGGAGGGGAGGGGAGTGGGAAGTACGGAAGGTGCCTGACTGATACTGTATACACAAGTCACAATCTATCAATGTAAGACTGAAGAGGGGTGAGAGCCCGAAACACATATCTGTATGAATTAAAAGTGGATGATGAAATTATTTGCCAAGTGTCGATAAATGCACCAAGTTGTGACATAGAATTAGAAGTTCTGATTTTGTTCATAAACAATTCCATGTTTTATTTTATAAAATACATTAAAGTTTATTAGTTTATTGCTTCATTGTTTCCTGAGAATAATAAACATGAAATTGCTTATAAATTTTTGATTATGCTCCATGTAATAAAAAGTATATGAGTGGTGTTCTGTGGCCTCTGAAATGTTAATAACCACTAGTGTATATTGTGAGCTAACAAGAAAATATAATAAATACCAGTTATATATACCAGAATAAAAATCTTTGCAAAAATTCTTCAAACACACCATTATTCCTGTTATTTTTCCTTCTATTCTTAATGATATTCCTCATCTCTCTTTTTAAATTTGAATCTTTTGGGAACTTGTGCATTGTAATATATTTTAATTTCTCTTGTTACTATAATGAAAAACAAAACAACATTGACGAAATTTTGATTTTATTTTTACTGATGTATATAGTTTAATATGACTTTATCCCAATTGCTAAAATTTCTAAAATGGCACATGATGTCAGTTACTTTCTTTTTGACTGTACTCAATATGGTGTAATAAAATTTCTCTATATATGCAAAAACATTGGATTAAAATGTTATTATTACAGTAAATAAATGTTTTAAACACATTTCAACATTTTCTGTTAACTTTTAATTTTGCACATTTATCTAGGCAATCATCTGGGACTATTTGGTATGAAGCAAAAATTTGTGTGAAATTTTATGCGGTAACTACTGACATACAACCCGTACCTAACACCAGACCATGCTGTACTTATATAAATAAAGAATGAAACAATTTCTGTTAAATTTCACTTACCTATATGTACCTCCGCACGTTTCTGGATAAGGCCAATACCAACATCTTTGCCAATGGCGACCAATAAATGTTTCTGTTCCATTGGGTTCTTTGCATGTTACTGTTTTAGAAACTTGATAGGAACACCAGTTTCTATATCATATAAACAAATTAAAATACAGTAATACTATATAATAATGTATTAACTTTTAATCTTATAATCATTATACATTAGTGTATCACATAACATTAAAAAATATCAGTATTAACTAATATTTAATATTTCATAAATGAGTTATTATTTTAAAAGCATGTAACATGAGTACTATTTGTTTTTATCTATGACATTTCTTTTATAGAAATTTTATTACAAATGTGTTTAAATAAAGTACCATGAAAGTTTTACACCTTTTATCATTTCAGGAGTATAAAGTTTCATTTGACATACTATAATTTGAACTGTATGCAAACTAATAAATTGTCACCAATTTACAGTCAAAGATTGCTGTCAAGCTCTCAAGAGATTTAAAAGGGAGGAGTATGATGAGGATACTCTGGAAGAAACAATGCTGCATAGCTCATTCTTTTTACTAATGAAAGTCTAATAGAACTTTATCCAAAGCCCATCTTTGGGCACAGTTTTAAGACAGTGTTTTTTGCCATCTATATCCAAAAACTCAAGCACAACTAATAAATGGATTATAGAATGAATGGCTGCTATTTCTGGTGGTCAGTCATTTAATCCAGGTTTCTTCCAGGATTAGTGATTGTTTAGTTAAACATAGAGGGTTTACAAAGTATTAATTGTTAATATTGTAATCGGTAATATTTAAAAATATATAACCACATACTTGACAAATAAATTAAGTTTTGAAAATACTTAAGGGTTCAAAACTTTCAGAGTATCTTTTATACTTAATTTTATCAGTATTTATAATATTATTTAGAAGTATAAGTTATAAAAATTATATACTCTAAATAATAAACTGTGTTAACATTTACAAGTAAATAAATTCAAAAATTAAATTTAAACTTTTTAATCTATAAATGTTTATATTCTAAATAAAATAAATTAAAGAACACTTGGTGATGGTCAGAAATTTTAGAAGGGAATACAACAAACAAACTTAAGAAGTATCAAATGGCTATGAATTCCTATAATGAGCAGTCAATTATCTATCCAACATTCAACCATTGATTGTTCATTAAATTATTCTTATTCAAAATTCACTGGTTTGTCTGTTATTCCCATCTCAAACTCACTATGTGAACTCTCAATTCAATATTCAAAAATTGAGAGCTCACACACTAGATTCTCAGCCCAATAATTCTTCAACTGATTGACAGTTCCAATCTTGTCTTCTATAACTTCTTGGAGTTATGATCATGTCAATCTTTTGTGTGCCAATATCTTCAGTTATCACTAATCAAATGTTAAATTTCACCATGAAATAAATAGTTTTATATGATATCCATATATTTTAAATACTGTACATGATTAACAATTGCTGGTAAGGGTTTACCACTGATTTTCCAGCATCTCTTTTAATCTGAACAAAATTATGATAGAGCATATAAACATTCTGCACTGCCAACCTTGTTCACTGAATGTCCACAGTTGGCTTTCTTTATGGCTCCTATTCACTTGGATTATCTACTTCGGTGGTTTCCAAATTTTTCTGCATGCACCTCGTGGCTGCCTTGATTCGATAAACTAGATCCCTACTCTTCATAAGTTTCTTTAGAATATCGGTTTCAAGACTTACATTCAGAAAAAATTAAATTTAAAACAGCAAAAATTACAGTCGACCCCCCTATAACACTGATGATTATTCCTTTTTATATGAATTCCATGTTGTATGAGTCACTTAGATTTTACAAATACGTGTGCTGGGCTGTGAACGGTTCACATATTTGTAAAATCTAAGTGACTCGTACAACATGTAATTCAGATAAAACGGAAAAGTCAATGATCTTATAGGGGGGTCAACTGTACTAGGACATGTGCCATTCCCCTTTTCGTCTGCATTGCTTTTTCCTAGTCTCCAATAGATCCCCAAATTCCATTATTAACAAAGAATACAAAACTCATGGCTTCTAGCCTATTCTACAAGTATAAATGAAACTAATGAATATTTCTTTTTTTTAAAATAATTTTAGTCCATTGTTCCATGCAACTTCATCTTATGTTGACCAAAACTTGGCCCCAAGCAATGCTGCCTTTTTCTTCTGGTGGAACTACCCTGACGGCACCTTCATTTTACCCTGGATTATCCCAGGGTATATTCTACGCAAAATTCATCACTACCCGAAAAAGAACTATATATATATATATATATATAAAACATCCAATTAATTATCCCCATAATTTTACAATGTATACTATAAACCCCATAACCGGGAAGACAGCAAATCGACTCATTGTTTGTTTGTTAAGTTATGGTAATGCAACACTTGGACAATTTGCTTTCCGGGAGGTCTCTTTAATTAAGGGAAACTGGCCCCTATTTAAGAGTTATAGACGTGGAGAAAACACGGAAAACTCCACGTGGCCAGACCCATCCGAGCGAGGCGCGAACACACGACCGAACGCCCAGTGTTCATAGTACGAAGACCTCTTGGCCACTAGTGATCCACGAATCGACTCATTGCTGCGATGATGTTAAAGTTAAATAAGATGCATAATTTATGTAAGAGTGGTAAAATAGTGCACTTCAAATGTTTTCTGACACATGCGCTTGTTAAAATTTTAAAAATTTAGTTTAGGTAATTAATTTTCTTACAAACGAAATTTAGATTCGTTACTACCCGTTTCAGCTTTATCACTATCTTTTTCGTCACAACTACTGCTTAGAATAAACCCTAAATTGAGAAAACTCTCGAGCTCTTGCTCAAATAAAAAAATAATAATAATAAGACGAACGAGTCTAGGACGCAGATTCTTGTATTATTATTGTGAAATAATAATAAGAAAATTCATTGTTTTTTGAAAAATTTTAATAGCTAAAATGTCTTAGGATTTTTAGACTTTATCAGAGATATTAATTTACATCTGATTTGGAGAGTGCCAATGGTATAAAGGTTGAGAAAAGCGAAATCCTATTCGGGTGTAATATACAGTGTACAACCATGTACAGTACAGTACTTAGCACCAATCTGCTTTATTAGTTTGTGATGTCCTATCCTAAAACCTTCCAATTAAAGGGGAAAACAGAACGGTTTTAGGCAAAAACTTTTTCAGGCGAAATTTGTGGCGCGATGAATAATAGCATCAGATCACAGGCAGTTTTACCCTAGATTTACCCTAAATATAAGACTACCCTAAACATTACCCTGAGAGGTTGAAATTGCCGTAGAAAAGGGTAATTACTCTAGAAACGGCAGCACTGCCCCCAAGGTCTGTAGACCTTGTTGGCCCCGATTGCAACCAGCACCATCTTGCGGGAGAGCTGATCTGACGTTGAATTATGACATTTGAAGCTTCTTGCACAATGTATGATGTCCTTTTTTATAGTTGTGTGTGCGCTGAACGGTAACAATGCTAGTTATAAAGCAAAACTGTGACTTAGAATGCGATGATAAAATTGTGAGTGACCAGAACTTAAAGCAACGTAAATAAAATAAATTTATCTGAAATATTTTTCTGATGAACTTATTGTTAGATGCTCGGTTTGTTCTAAGAAATCTTCTACATCAACCTAACTGTAATTGTCATTTTAAATTAAATTTCTAATAACTGCATTGCAATTTTACAAAACAGGCACAAGCGTTGTAAAAACTATTTTATTTAAACATCTTTTCAACACTTTGAGTAAAAATTCCATGCAAAATGCATTTCCGATTTTACAAAAATACCTTAATATACTGTACAAAATATTAAAATGACCGTATATACAGTACATTTAATAAAGTTAAATCACTTTTCTTTGTACAACCTTCCCTGACAAACTAATACATTATGTTTTTGATGGCCAGATGGCCGAGTGGTCAAGGTAGCAGCCTACCACTCCGGGGGGACCCGGTATCGAGTCCAGATAGGTCCGCCCGGATATGTCGGGTCCCGTCCCTCACCACGCGGCCGCCCCATTGTGGGCCTGGCCGAACCCATAATGGGCTTGCTAAAAAGAGACCTTCTAGTGCCCACAGGGCGGAAAGAGTTAAAAATGGGGTATTACTGTATCTAAATTAATATTGAAATTCACTGTTATACTATAATTATTCAATGGGTGTTTTTACGATATAATAACGTATTCGAGAGTAAATAAATAATCGTAGCAATCGTCAATGATCATCATAAGTGATAAACAAGCTTGGAAGAGTCGATCTCTAGAAGCCACTCAAGTAGTTTCATCGCTCCGTAGGGGTTGGTATCTTCCACTTTTGACACTAGTCTACATTAATCTATTGATTGGTTTATCTGTTCAAAGGTATTTGCTTATATTCAGTGCGACTTTTAGCTCATATTACATTCGACTTTAGCTATGTCCTTTTAAAATAGATGCGTCCATTGTATCAAAGGTAAACAAAAAAAAAACGAGTTCAGATTTATACACGCTTAAAGCTTTTAGTATTTCGGTGTTTTTAGAGACGTGGGCTAATATAATAAGTGTCCAGTATACTGTTGAATTATTATTATGTGACCTCGGATTAGTTTACTTTATATTTGCAGAATAGACTAGAAGTCATAAATTTTCTGTTGTTTGTTGATAATGGAATTTGGGGATTAGGAAAAGGGCAACAACACAGACAAAAAGGGAGCAAGTGCCCAATTTACCAAACATTTATTACTTTATAAGATTCGGCTTGATACATCGGTTATCGGCACAGCGCTAATTATGAAAACTGCAAGAATCCCCTCCAAAATTTTTAACATTCTAAAACAATTTTCTGACAGCTGAGGAGGTCTACCAGTGGCCAAGCGATTTCGTTCCCTGAACACTGGAAGTTCGGTTGTGGGTTCGCGCCTCACCAGGACGGGCTGTCACGTGGAGTTTTCCGGGTCTTCTCCACGTCTGTAACGCCTAAATAGAGGCCACTTACTCTCAGAAAGATCTCCCGGAAGGCATCTCCATAGGCAGATCGCCCAACGATGTAACTTAACTAAATAAACAGACAGCTGAGGAAATTATTATGTTGAAAGAAGTAGAGTTGATGATTACTATAATTAAAAGTCGTAATTCCTTATTGTGATATCGTCACAATAAGTAATTTCGATTTTTGATTGCAGTCCAATGAAGGAATTGTGACAACGCATTGGACTTTGGCAATTTCGAATCATATTTTAATTTTAAAAATTGAAATTGAAATCGCGTGACTTCCATTACCCACCGGAAGTTAGTATACAATTAATCATGACTTTCGACCCTAAGCTTTCTTGATTTCAATCTAATTCCGTTCTCGAGATTAACAAAGAACATATAAACTGACGGATGACAGTGAGAATGTATTGTTGTGCTACAATATGAAAATTGCAGCCCAACAAATACCGGTATTCAACATTGTAGATAATAGTCTGTATTTATCTAGAATATACCAGATATTCTAAAATTCCAGTGTTTAGTTGTTTAATCACTCGCCACTGGTGAGCCAAAAGTATTTTATTCCTGTTATTCATTAGTCTACAAAATAAATTCAAGAATAATTATAGACATTTCAAGAATGGAAGGTATCTTTGGCATAGAACGGGGTTAATAGTGACTTAGTAGACTACTTCAATAATATGTCATGATCTTAGTAATGTCTTGAAAGCATTTTAAAGAAAAAAAAAAACTCTGGTTATTAATAATTCAGATATAAAAATATCTACAAAAATAAAAAACACAAATGACATGTTGTCGAACTTTTTATATATAAATATTAGATAACCTGAAAAATGATACATCTGTATTTATTTTTAAAATAAATTTTCATAATCAGCTGTTTTATTTTACTCCAGTTATTAAACTTCAACGTATTATTATAAAAATTCTAAAGTAATTTAACTTTTGCCCCCTCAGTGTGTAATTTAATCAATAGGATTTTATGGGAATCAAATTTAATTAGCGTACTTCCGTTATTGTGTATGCTAATGTACTAGGAAGTGATATAAATGTAAGCTATCTTCTCTTTACATTGCTTAAAACTAATTTTTTGTTTCTCTCTTGAATAAATTTAATCCTTAATTTACATAATTCACAAATTAAAAATAAATATGTTTATTGTTTAAACTATAACAGTTATCCAATATTTAAATATAAAATAATAATAATAAGATGTATTGTAATACAGTCAAACCTCTATACAACGGCCACTGATGGCAACATAAAAAAATGGCCGTTGTTTGGAGGTAATTCTGCAACCATTTCTGAAAAAGATAACCGTTGTTGGAGGTCCGACTATATTTATAATAAATTATAGTAATTATAATAAATAAAATATATAAAACTTTTTTGATAACATGGCCAGGACAGTAAATAAAGCGCTATATAATAAGAGTTTTCATTTGTTCTTTTCTCACGCCTCAGGAAATAACAGTGAATACAAGTCGACTCCCCTATAACACTGTTGATTTTTCCGTTTTATATGAATTCCATGTTGTACGAGTCACTTAGATTTTACAAATACGTGAGCCGTTCACAGCCCAACACATGTATTTGTAAAATCTAAGTGACTCGTACAACATGGAATTCATATAAAACGGAATNATGATATTTTTAAAGCTAAAGGTTACACTAATAAGGCACTATTTAGCAACCGAAGCTAAATCCAAAACAAGAAATAGAGAAGGAAGTGCAGATGGAGATATAGCCTACAAAAAGAAAAAAATAATTGAAATACACTATAAATGCTACAATATAAATGCGGACATTTATAAAAAAAAAAATAAGTAGTAGTATTAGTATTATCTATAGTAGTAGTAAATACTTTGTTAGTTGTTGTTATACAGTATTTTTATAAAACAGAACGTTACTTTTAGTCATCATATGTGTACCTGCAGTAATTTTTTTTTAGAAAGAGATCACATGGTATGGTCAATTTCTGTGTATGAAATTGCATATGGAATATAAAATACTATTTGTATTAGTACGAATCAGCAACGATGGTAATCATGACAATACAGCTATAATACTGAGTGGCAGCCCGTGAGAATCGAGTGAAATCAGTCATCTTGAGCGTGGAAGAAACAGTAAGCTCGTTGCTTCAAATTGTAATTATCTTCGACCCGCAAGAGTGTCTTATGTCTTTGCCCTACGCGGGCTTTATGTTCGCGGGTTAGACGGCCGTCTTCGACCCGCAAGAGTGTCTTCTGTCTTCGCCCTACGCGGGCTGTATGTTCGCGGGGTAGACGGCCGTCTTCGACCCGCAAGAGTGTCTTATGTCTTCGCCCTACGCGGGCTTTATGTTCGCGGGGTAGACGGCCAAGAGTGTCTCATGTCTTTGTCTTATTTTATTTATTTATTATAAGTAAAATTATCAAAAACTTACCCATTTCTTTCTGACGAAAGATTTTTGTAAATTAATACTAATAAAATAAGTAATTGTATCGCTATCCTAGAAAATATTCCTTCCATTCTAGTAATTAATTGTCAAATTCGTCTCAGGAGTAGTAGTAGTGAGTGTGTGCTTCAGCCGAATAGTGATGTCTGCTCATTCTTAACAGGAAGAGTTGTTTCGCTGTCGGTGAATAAAAGAAAGATTGGCTTTTTAACTTTGGAACATTGCTCTCTATAAATTTGGACGTTTTAATTTTTGTTTGTATTCCAGAGGAAACAGGGCAAAGGTCCTTTTTTTTTATAATATTATGTAGGTGACAAAGAATTCTTTGTTTTAATTGGTCTTAAGGTCACGTGGCCCTGCANTGTCTTCGCCCTACGCGGGCTTTATGTTCGCGGGGTAGACGGCCGTCTTTGACTTTGTATAAAGTGGTAGTCGGTTGCATTGGTGCGCGTCAGAATCGAGTTAACATAAACACGTGACATCTCATTACCTAGAAGTATCATTACCATCTCGGGCAACGTATATGATGCATCCTGTTACGAAATAAGTAGACCTTTTGCAGACCTCCCGCATCCTATACTCAGAAGAGGTCTTGGGGCTCATGACTGTGCTACCAGCATCGAAGTTTTTACCGATGGCTCCAAGACTGCGCAAGGCACCGCAAGTGCTTTTGTTGTTTATGTCGATAATGAGGAATTTCACGACAGCTTTCCCCTGCACCCGGAGTGCTCAGTGTTTCAGGCAGAAATGTTTGCCGTCTTTAAAGCAATAGAATTCTGTAATAAAAATTTCAGCGACTACAATATTACTATTTTCACTGACAGCCAGGCCACGGTCCAAGTCTTGACTAACAAAGATACCACTCATCCCTTTGCTAGGGACACTTTGTTCTCTGCAGATCAGTCCAGTAATAATTATCATATCAAATGGATTAAGGGGCACTGCGGCACTCCAGGTAACGAACGTGCAGACTTCCTCGCACGTGTGGCTACTTCCTTCAGGGACATCAACCCAGTGTACAGCCATTTACCGGTCTCCAGGTTAAAACAGCTCCTTTGGCAGCATACAATTGTAGTGTGGCAACAAGAATGGGAGCGTATCCCAGAGCAGCACATTTCCCGGCAGTTGTTCCCAGACGTAGCAAGACGCCTCAGCTTGAAATGGGTCCACCCTCAACACCAGATGTCACAGCTGCTCTCAGAACATGGTAAATTCAATGTATACTTACATCGGTTTCTACACAGCGACACTGACTGCTGTCCAAACTGCGATGTGCGTGATGGAGTAAGGCATTATCTTTTGTCTTGCCCACTGCTGGAGGACATAAGGAACGAGCTCAAACTTTACGTGGAAGAAGATAATCTCAATTGGCCGTGTAAGCTGGAAGTTTTAGTGTCGAGTAAAAAGTACTTTTCCCTTTTTCAAAGGATGGTCAAGCTTTACTTTAACAGAACATTAATACATTGATAAACGTTTTTCCTCACTTTTATTTACCGCATGACTCCTGACATCAGGATTTTATATCTACGTGTATTTTGATTTCTTTTCTTTTACGCTCACTGTCGGTTTTACTGCTCGGCATGTCACCTCTATGTACACACTGTATATATTCATCCCGACTGTGCCTAGCGGTGTCGGGCATAATAAAGTTTATTTTGTCTGTCTGTCTAGAAGTATCATTTAACTATTTTCAAGAATTTTCGAGAGTTAGTAAATGTATAATTTTAATTCGTAACGGAAATTTTGTTACAAAAGAAAATTTTAAAATGCTGTTCTGTATAAAATATTCTAAGATTTGAACCAAAGTTTTTATAATTTAAATATATTGTTTGTTGTCTGTCCATAAAAATCTTACGAATGCTCGTATATGAAAAACTAAGTACTGTTGAACTTGTCTAACTGGAATCTTCCGAGAAAGGAAAGTACAGGTAACCCCGTATAACATGGCACTTCTATAGCACGGATTCGTTCTAACACGGTTCGAGAATTGGTACCATCCCCCGTATAACACGGTACTTTTATAGCACGGATTCACTCTGACACGGTTCGAGAATTGGGTAAAACCCTCGTACAACAGAAAATGTAATAAATTTTTACATACTTAACTAATAATAGTTCACGAAAATTATTATTTTCGTGAACTGTTAGTACTTAAGTATGTAAATTTTCTCTTCTCGCCTTCTGTCGATACAGGTGGTCCTTCTCGAAACTTGTTTCAATGTTGCCAGATCACGACGCTTCTGCTTCTGATGTTGCCGAATGTTTTTCCCTTATTCCATACTTGCTTTATTCTTCATAAGTGCTTAGCACCATATAAGGAAATTTATAAAGACCTTTTAACTAGAAGCAAGCAATCTAAAATTACATACATTTTGCAAAAGGTAAAGCATGGATCTGAAGATAATGCAGAAAAATGCTCAGAGGATAAGGATAACTTGCCAAAAAGAAAACGCTCTCGGTTAATTAATAGTGTTTTTAGTGATGACGAAGAAAACATTGTTTAATTTATATTAATATGTATCACTTAAAAAAATTTTAATGAAGATATTTATCTTAATTATGAAAATATACTAGCATGTTTTTTAATTTTTGGAACCTAACCCTCCTTTTCGTATTAGTTCTTTGTTTCGTATAACACGGATTCGCATAACACGGCATTTTTTTGGAACGTAACTACCGTGTTATACGGGGGTTACCTGTAAATCTGAGATATAGAGGTTTATACGTTTGCATTTACATGGAATATAGGTGAAATTGAAGATTATAAAGCCACGAAAGAGTGGGGGTGCGCGGGAAAATAAGTCCTAATTAAAATTACCGACAAGAGATAGTATGGAAAACCCTTATATTGTATGACAGGAAGCTGTAGATAGCTTCAATTTAACGCAGTTCGTCTTAGCCAGGTTTTACCGTACATAAAAACGACATTATAAGGAAGCAAGTGACAACTTCAACTTGAACAATCTATTTATTATAACATTTAAATTGATGTATGACTATTCCCGATCAAATTTTATACGTAATCTGATAAATAAATTTCGAAAAATCTGACGTTTGAAATGAAATTCGGAATCTTAAACTATAAATATGTTTCGATTTAACATTTTATCGCTAATAATTCCATTTTGATTTCCTATAAATCATAAATAGCAATTTACTTACTTTCTGAAGTTTATTTATAATGAAAATTCTTTCGAAAAATCTCATAAAAACCAGTAAAAACGAGAAAATTTCCATTTGAAGATGGCGACCAACAATAGAAAATTCGAACAATTAGTTCGTTTCGAACGTTTGACATTCGGATAAATACGTCACGCGTTACGTCAAAAGTTTAAACGATTTGAAATATTTCACTTCAAAAGTTAAAATAATCCTGTTTTTATCAATAAGTAATACAAACTTGTGTTATATTAATATAATAATAAGGTACTGTATCTGTGCATAAATTGTGCAATACTTTCTCTGGTTGTGAAAGATAGCAACGATACAACAAAACCATATACAGTACTACAAAAGATGTTTCATCATTTACATGAAATACAGAAATGGGATGCATCCGAGGACCAAACCGTAAAACACCCGGATCGACCCAACATCGACAAGAAACCGAACTCCCACATAAAATGACCAAACTGACAGTGAATCAATGCCGATTACTCGAATTTAGGAAAGAAAAAAGCGAAACGAGACCCAGAATGTATTAGATACTACCAACAAAACCAGGAAGATATATCACAAATAAGAAGAAAAGAGAGACGCTAACCTGAAAAAATCTACAACATAGCTAAATTCGAGATGAAACAATCTAGATTTATATCACTTATCTAATTGCCTAAATGTCAAATCTAGGAGCAAACAAAACAATCCAGATTTAGCTGAGAAAAATAGATTCTAAAGTGACAATCCTCCAAGTGATTTCAATGTAAGTTGACTTAAAGTAAAATGGCAGTCGATAGTACTCGTCGTCGACACCAAGAGCGCTGTATCTAAAGTCACAGCCATTCTATAGTATATTCTAACTCGTTGGAAGTGACTTACCCGTAATACAAATTCGTTTAAAATGTCTTCCTTTCATACTAATACTAATTTGTTGTTAGTTGGCTAGTGTCGGCTTCCAAATCTTTTATTTCTGTTTCGTTTCCTTTACTGAAATTCGGTTTTTCCGTCTTTCCCTCGATTATTCTGCCATTTTTCGGCTTCTTTCTACAACTAGGAAAAATTTCNTTTTTTTTTTTTTTTTTTTTTTTTTAGAAAATGCCAGCGATACGAAAATGGCGTCAAAATTCCAACGAACAATGGCATTTGTATTGTTGATTCGTTGATGTTATATCTAGAATTTAAAAAATTAGGTTATTTTATTGAGTAGAAATATATATATATATATATTTTATTAGAACGTAAACGTGTACAGTACATGTAGGCCCATCAGTGGCCGAGTGCTTTTGTATCCTGAACACTGGGAGTTCGGTCGTGGGTTCGTGCCTCGCTCGGACGGGCTGGTCACGTGGAGTTTTCCGGGTTTTCTCCACGTCTGTAACGCCTAAATAGGGGCCAGTTTCTATTAAAAAGGCCTCCCGGAAGTCATCGCCCAAGTGTTGTGTTGCCATGACTTAACAAACAGTATACATATATTACAATAATCACACGTGGCATATCCAAAAATAATTAATAATAGTCCGATGTCGATATTAATTACAAAAATAATACGTAAAAGTAAAAATATTTTGTTTCGTCATGATTTCACAATTTCTACGAAAACTGGACAAATCAATACTGTAATTCATCCGGGCCATGAATTTAAAAACCGGCTTGTCCGGGTGAAAACAGGCTTGGTGGCAACACTAATTACAATACACACAAACGCTTATGTGTATTTGAATGGATTTGAGTAACATAAATCGAAATGACATTCAAACCATACACGATAAATACAAATACATTGCCTATAATGAGCACACTTCATAAAGCGTAAGTTATTAATAATAATGTATTTAGAATAAAATTTTTGTTTTACACAAAGAATGTTTTCTATTTAGCCTACTTTTTTGCCGGAGATTTCTGAACCTAATGTACAAGTACAGTATATCGAGGTTCGTGGATGTGGCAGATTTAAAAAAAAATAATAAGTTAAAATCACGATTTTCTAAACTAATTAATTAACACAAATTAAAAAACAACAACATGTTTATTTTTTGCGTGATTTCTTTATTTTTTGTACAGGTTTATATTATTACTCAACAAAGTTACGAGCAATATAATGATTATAGATTCAAAATATGTGATTACAGTAAGCATTTGTATCGAAAATTTAGTAAAATAAACAATAATAAAACTGACAAAACTTTTTACGAAACAAACGCAAATAATAATAATAATAATAATTTTAAAAAACTGCAATAAAATGAGTATTAATAAAAACAGCAGAGCTTAAGTGAAACCTTCCAGAAATCTTGTTTGTTTGCGTTTTCTACTATCCCTACATGTTTGTTTGTTTATTTGTTATTATAAGTATTCTAGTATTCACATTTGACACTAAATATAGCTAATTCTCTAGGTCGATAACGTGCATTATTCAAGGCTTAAATGTTGAAAGCAAAAGTGCTTATTTTCACATGAAGCTAGTGTGCCGTTATGCACACTAGCTTCATGTGTTTTCATATGCCACCGCTGTTGCGTATATCTGGCTGCGCGTATGATTGTAATAATACTGTAAGTTAAATTAGACATAGTTTTTAATCATTTATTACGTATAATTAAAAATATTTAAGCAAAATAAATGAATCCTAATGTGAATGAACAGAGAAAAGGAAAGGAAACATGCAAAATGCAAAAACTATCAGTGGTGCCTCTGCTATGGTTATCGGTGAACTGAAATTAACTAAAAGATGTATTTCCAGATGAGAATTTACAGCGCTGTGTACCAAATACAGTTTAAAATTTCCTATAATTTGATTTTAAGTAGGCCTGCAATTAAAGAGGTTGCGGCCGAAGTTTTCATCTCTAAAACGTGAACGTCGAACGTCGAGCGCCGCTTACAAGATAGCGGCCTCGACGTTCGACGTTCACGTTTTAGAGATGAAAACTTCGGCCGCAACCTCGCTATTGACTGTGAAAAATATGAGTTAAGGTAGAATATGTCTTTTAAAAGTTATTAAAACAGAAAAAGCTAAAATAAAAGTTACACATTCTTCTGGTAATATTATAAAACAAAATAATTCGCCAGCTGGAGGCAAAAAAAATACCTAAATCCAATTTATACCTTTTGTCTTCGGTTGGCGAATTATATTAACGATTACTCAACAAAATTATTTTCATAAACATACCACCATTGGTTTAATAAAAGGGTTAATAGTATATTTAAATTTTTAAAGTATAATTAATATGGACTTATAACTTATTTGCCCGAGTTAATAACATTTTTGACTTCATTTGGAAATGAACCTTTGCAGTTTGTGACTTCATTTACAAATCACGAAATAAAATGGAAAATATCCAGCAACGAGTTGCGTAACTTTCTGGCAAAAGAATTTAAAATTGTGTGGCACCATCTGTTGAGATTTTATTATAAAAATTTTTTAATATTATTATAATTATTATAAAATGGCAAAAAGCTTAATTTATATAAATGCTAATAGTAAGTAAAATAATTATCTGACCCCACTCCAGATATGATATGTGAACACCTCTATCTCCCCACCCCGTCGACTCTTAACCATTAAAATTTAATGAATCAATGACCCTAATACAAAAAAGCCTCTCTGCAAAATTTCAGAAATTTTCGACGAAAGGCATAGGAGTTATTAGGCTTCAAAGTGGGTAAATAAAATCGCGCCCCAAACACACATACACTAACACCCATACATATAGAAAAAAATCTCCAAACTTTTTTGCATTTCTCGATGTTCCAAAGCCTCCCGGGGCCCACCAGTGGCCAAGCGGTCTTAGTATCCTGAACACTGTTCGGTCGTGGGTTCGCGCCTCGCTCGGACGGGCTGGCCACGTGGAGTTTTCCGAGTTTTCTCCACGTCTATAACGCCTAAATAGTGGCCAGTTTCCTTTAAAAAGACTTCCCGGAAGGCATTACCCCTAGGCAGATCGCCCAAGTGTTGCGTTGCCATAACTTAACATACAATCCAAAGCCATCCACTCCATATGTAAAAATGCAAAAATCTTGGAGGGCCATTTTTTGACCGATCGCCATACTTTCCCTATATTATATATAACAGCCGGGAAAGTAAAATTAAATGTAATGCAGTAATTAAAATATAAATTAGAAAGATTTTTTAATCCCACGCATATAGTTGAGTAGTTAAGGGGGCACGGGCTCGACGGAGTTGGCCACAAAGCTTCATAAACTCACGAGTAATACAGTGCCTGCATGTGCCCATGTGCATGTGGCACCTGCACATGCAACACACTGCATGTGCTGCATGTGGCACACAGGCACCTATGGGCCACATACAGTGCCTGCATGTTCGCCATATTCCTTCTATTCTAAATTTCTCTCAACGTTTATTTCTGTTAGAAGAATATTATTGTGATAATAAACATTTATCACGACACAAGAATTATAATAAATAAGGAAAACCAGAACGGATGACAAATACAAATACTGTAATTAAAATGACTCGCGTGTTATTAAAAAATATGATGCAACGGTATTAATGCTAAAAATATTTACTTTTTGAAGTTTTTTTACAATTTGTTTTTAATATAAAAATTACTCTGTAATTATTTGATAATCATTTATTTCACTTAAATTATAATTACGAGTATAAAAAAAATTTAAATTCCCTTAATTTTAGTTTAAACATTGATTTCAAAATATATTTTTATTTACACACAATTTTACAGTATAATAGTTTTGAAATATTTCATTACGGCCGAATGACCGAGCGGTCAAAGCGGCAGCCTACCACTTTGGGGGATCCAGGGTCGAGTAATCCCCAGAAATTTTTCAGGGGATGGTCCGTTCGGATATGTCGGCCCCGTCCCTCACCACCCGTTTGCCCCATTGTTGGCATGGCCGAATCCATAATGGTTTTGCAAAAAGAGGCCCTCTAAGTGCCCACAGGGCGAAAAGAGTTTAAAAAATAATAATAAAGATTTTTTCTAGTTGGATACAGAAATTAAATAGCCCTTAGTTACAGAAGACCTGAGTATTGTTTTAAAAATCTTTTGTAAGGAATTCTGTTGACAGTGAGAAGCAATGTATACTGAGAGGAAGGGTCTTTATAGGGCAGCCGAATAGTGAGGGGCCTCATTCATTCGGGAAATAAACTTTCTTGTATATTGAATTATTATTAATACAGTAAATTTAATAATAATTGTTATGTATAATACAGTATATTGATATTATAGTACAGAACTAAAGTGCTCGGATGGCCGAGCAGGTAAGGTGGCAGCCTACTGCTTGGAGGACCCGGGTTCCAATCAGGATCGGTCGTAAAATCCCCAGGAATTTTTCGGGGGGTAGTCCGTTCTGATATATCGGGCCCAGTTCCTCACCACCCGGTCACTCCACTGTGGGCCTGGCCCAATCCATAAATTGGGCCTGCTGAAAAGAGGCCATCTTAGTGCCCACAGGGCGGAAAGAATAAAAAAAAAAAAAAGCACAAAACTAAAATAAACGATGAATTCTAATCTGGAAACTTCCTAGTTTTTTCACACGGACGGAGGTCAAACCGGTTTTCAACTTCAGTGAATATTCATTTTATTGTAATATCTTAAAAGATTATATCTGACCATCAATCGTGAAAAATACTAGATAATTGAATAAATATTTTCTAAATAATCTTTTACGTTCTAAATGTATTGCTTCTTTCTTTGAAGTGTCATATTAGGAAATTATTACATCTTGTGATCGAAAGTAATGTATAAAAACACGGGCTTACTGTATGTATTGTTGTATTCGGGGCTATATAGCTGCAGATAGAATTAAATACAGGATAACATTATAGGCTATTCAGTTTAATAAACGTTATAGAAACACGAGACTGGATTTAGCGCTGTAAAATTGTGTACAGGTATAAAGTTACAGGACTATAGAACAGCCTATAGGATGCATTCAAGGCTGTAGAGCTAAATACAGGATTACTTCAAGGCTAAATATCTTGTAGGCCTATATAAGAATATTTTCAGGATAGCACTAGCGTAGCGAGGGAGGGGCAAAGGGGGGTCTATCATGCCCCGGGCGCCATTTATGTTCGCTACGCCACTGTAGTATAGCGGAATTAAATATAACTAACTCCATGACGGTTATCGAAACACGGGATTAAATTAAATATTTACTTTCATATTGACTTATAGTCAAAATAAATTTTAATAAAAATCAAAATTGATCCAACTGATAATTTATCAAAACAAGAAAAAGCTGATAAATCCTTTAAGTAGCATAAAGTTTATTAAACTTTAAATATGATAAGATAAAATTACTTCTTAACAGGAATATTTTCATAAAATAAAAATAAAATAAAATAAATAAATCAAAATAATAATAATAATAATAAATTGGATTATTTATTTAAAAAAAGAACGAACAGATTGATTGGTTTAAAAAATATTTTTTAAAATATGTCATATTTTCGACCAATGACAGAAGCGAAGAGAAAAATCAAGTGGAATGCACGTGCGACGAGAATGTAGTAAACTAATCGATAGACAAGATCGTCTGCTGTGAGAAATGGTTCGCAGTTATGACATTCGTTGGGCCTTTACGTGGTTGTTTGTTATATTTGTTAATGTTTATTGTTATAAACCCGTGGTTATTATACACGGATTGTTCGACAAACCGGAAAATTTAGAATATTTAGCTTCGTATATTTCAAAGGTGAGTTCATTCTTTAAATATTACATTTTATAGAAAAGTCGTCATAGGATTTCATTCTTAAATGGTTCATTATTTTCTAATTATGTTTAATTGCCAGCATGTAAACTGATACGTAATTAAATAATTTGTAAATAACAAGCTGTGACATGTTATTAATTAAAAATAAATTTAATTAATTTTATTAACTGATAAAATTTTATATTTGTATGAATGAATTATTATGTAAAATTACATTTTACATTTAATCTTTTACAGAAAGGTCATTTGCATTTCTATTTGGACGTGTTAACAATTGCTTTATTATTTGTCTTTTCTTTTTTTATTTAAAATTGGATTTAGAAAAGACGTTAAAATGTTTTCGAATTCGTCCGTCCGTCCGTCTCTTGGAATTTTTGTTTGCGTTTGATTTAAATCTTCGAAGGCGAAGCGACGTGTTTGAAAATGCCCGAATAATTCTTACGAAATAATTGCTCGACGTTGCTTCGGGGTTTTACTTAACGTTTTCGGAGAGAAATGCCGGTCCGAAAACATTAAGTAAAATATAAATTATGTTCTTTTGAAAATCTGATTATATTTGTTTATTTATTTGCTTTTTATTATAAACTGAAATGTCTTCCGATAACTAAACTTGCTTGGTTTTTTATTATTTAAATTTACAGAGTTTTTTGGTTTATTTTAAAAGAAATAAATATGATTAAGCATATTATTATTTACATTACATTTAAATATTATTGTTTACATTTTGCTTTAATCATATTTACATATATGTATATTATTTGCTTGTTACTAAATGTTTTTAATAACTTTGATGTGTTTTTTTTTTTTTTTAATTTTTAATAGAATGTAAATATTTTGTTTTTCGTACAGATATTTTGTGATGATATTATGTTCGAGTTGCAATAAATTTATGAAATAGTTTGCATAACTGATAACGTTAAACAGTCAAATATTTTTCTATTGATGGTCTTTTCTTCGTAATAATTAAAAAATTTTATATTTAATTTGACCTTGATTATCGTTTATCAATTTCATAAGCATATTTATTTAAAATATTATTAAACATTACAATAAAAAATATATGCTTGTACAGGAGTAGTTTATTGATTTATAACAAATGATGATTAAAATGAGTAATATAAATTCTATTTCGTATTAAAAATATTTTATAATTTTTACATTTTCAAATTAATTCGTAAAAAAATTTTTTTACATTAACATTATTAATGATGATCATTTAAACATTTGTGAAAAGAAGAAAGAAAGAAAAGGCTGTTAAGAAGACATAATTTAAAATTAAACACTACCATCTTTTATCTATAAATGATAGCTAAAACGTCATTACTGTTGAATAAATAATATGTATATAAGAAATTTATCTCTACTTAAATAAATAATGTGTATAATCTGAACTGATTGAATAAAATATTGAAGTTTGAAATTTAAATTTACTTATTTATAGAAACATTCAAGGACAAATGTTACTGTTATAAACCTTTATGACGGACTGAAAAGTCTTTCTCCATTATGGGAACAAATCCATGAATTTGGAAATTCTGTATCAAAAATAATGAAAGAAAATCCAGATGGTATTCATATGATTGGATATTCTCAAGGTTAGTTAATTTATTTTTTAATTTTAATATATAATACACTGTAGTTATGATACTCAAAAGACTTATTTATGATAATTTTCCATAATGTTATTTTTCTCATTAATGTTGAGTTCATTTTTGAATGAAATAATTTTCACTTAAAATATTTTGATATTTCTGCTTTAAGTGAAAATAGATAGCTTATAAATCTGACTAATTTTCAGTTTTGGATCAAAGCCAACAAAAGCTTTCCAATTTTACAAAATGACAAAAAAAATATTGCTTAATTTCTTCTGGAAACTAGATAAAATCTAATATATTAAATGTTTTATTATTTTATAAAAACATGAAATTTTATTAATAATATATTACATCTTACAAAAAAGTTTGTCTCAGTTAAATGTAATAATATAAGTAATAATAAAATATAAAAGTATTAAAAATATAATGTTTTTTTATCCAGATGTGAAAGCAAGTTTTTGGAATTATTGTTGCTGTTTTATTTTAATGTGGCAATATTATAGAAATGATTTGTTAGAAATTTAACCATTTCTAAGAACCATTTAAATAATAATATCAAGTAACAAAGATGAAAAAAACATTTTTCCATAGCCTTTTATATTTTATAATTAATAAAGTATTACATTATCAATTACCAATTAGAATATTCCAGAAGGTTTTGGTTCCAATAACTTTTCATAAATAATAATTATGTATTAAAACAACAATGATAAATCATCACTAACCTTGATCAAATTTTTGGAGGTCAGACAATCATTAACCTTTTAATTATCAATTAACACTCATAAACCTTAAAAGTTTAGTACTTAATATTTAATAGAAAACAAACACTTTTGACCATACTTTCGGTCTTCAGGTTTAAAAAACCAGTGAGATTCGAACAAGTGAATGCGAAGAACAAAAAATTACAAAATTATTTTCAAAAACATGGAACAGTACAAACAGATTTTAAAAGAATGGAACACTCCAGGCATGTGTATAAACAGTTACACATGTGCGTTACCATGGCGATGGAACGGTATAAGTAACATAAACTGTGATACAAATACATATAAATAAACCAAATGAGGGTGGGGATGTGGTTTCAACTGCTGGTGTGGGAGTTGCCTATTGCTTCATAGCAGTACTTCCAAGCGTGAGACACATTGATGGCATCTTTAGAGTTAATACAATTGATATGTAATCTGACTTTGTAAATTTCAAGTGCCTCCAGGTTTTGAAGGTGTTCAACACAATGAGACAGCTTGATTAGTTTGGCCTCATGGAGGTCAGCTCTTATGCCGGGGTCAGTGGCATAGGTGGATAGGGTGGTGATGTGCCTTTTATTATCAATATTGTATTTGTGTTCCTGCAATCTTTTATTAAAAGAGCGTTTTGTGGACCTAATATAAACTAACTCCCTTTGAAACCTGTTGTCCCAGAGAGGAACCATGTATACACCTAGTGCTTTCTTTTTATCAGTCTTGTCCTTGTCGCTGCAGAGTAACCCATATACAGTGCTGGGCCTCTTGTAGGCAATCTTTTTGTTGGTACGGAAGGCAATCTCTCTGTAAATGGAGTTGAGGTGGTGGTGGTGCTCTACCACTGCATGAGACTGTGTGGTATTTAGGTTGTGTGTTCCGTGAGTCGCTACATGTGTGTTAGAAGTGTCATGTGTGGCAATTTGTGTAGAGTAAGTACAGGAAAGGTTGTAAATCAGGTTTCTATTATATCCGTGCTGTATGACAATGTTCTGAATGCGTTTCAATTCCGCTTTGGTGTCTTCAAATCTGGTGTGGTGTGTGAAAGTCCTTTTTGTTAGGGCACGGAAGGCAGCGATCTTATAGGAGAAAGGGTCTGCAGAGTTGGCAGGGATGAACAGTGGCCTATAGCATGATTTGTAATGATGTCCAGAAAATGTATGGCTGTGTTGCTCTTCTGATTCAATTTGATGGTGAGGCCATATGGGTTGTCATTCATTGCATTTATGAAATGGTTTATGTTTGGTTCCGCTTTCCATAGAATAAAGATGTCATCACCATACCTCTTGTATATGAGGATATTGGAAATGAATAGCAGTATGACTTTTTCTTCAAGCTGCCTGATCACCAAGTCACATAAATCCCGAGAGGGGGCTGCCCATAGGTACACCATATTTTTGTAAGTATTGTTGTTAAAGCAGCAGTGGCGTGCCATCATTGGAAGCGGTGGATGTGCCGCTTCTCTTGTATTTTCTAAAAAATAAATACATATTAATTTTAATTATATGAAAATAATTGCACAATATTTTATTATAACTGCATTATGTAACTTATTACAAATTTCTATACTACACATGAAAAAAAAAGATGAGATTGCTATTGTATATTCGAATGTTAGTGGCGGAGTGGAAGCACTGTATTGTCAGCATCCAAAAAGCCAGATTTGCATTTGTGCTTTACAGAGCACCAACCTCACCCGGTTTAGCTGGTGAAAGCCTAGGGACCTTGGGTGGATGCTACACGTATACTGCATCCAATTCTATCCAGGACTGGTTCTGGACTGTTAGACGCCTGCCCGCTAGATATTTGGCAGCCCTTGCCCGATTACGTGAATCACGAGTAGATTTATAACTTAACCCAACCGATAAGAATTTACTGGTATGTTTTTATGATAGTTCTGTATAGTTGACAGTAGTTTAAAAAATCCATTAAAATATTTGATATTTTTATTCCGCTCTCCAATTTTATATTACTCGCGGATTTCAATGTTAAACCAGTGATATTATGATTTCGTATACCCCATCTCTAAAGGGATGTAGAAAAAACGTGTACAATTCTTGTATAATGCTAAAAAATTAACCATTACTTTGATAGCATCATTTACAACTAAATTTAATGAATGAGAGAGATGCATGAGGTACAGAAAAAGCTCTAGAATTTATTTTCCTTAAATTTACAATTTATGTATCCATTGTCATAAAAATTTGTCTTTCTACTTCTTCCCCAANTTCCTCATGGTAATGTCATTGTACATATTTTATAATAACCTTATACTATTTTATTTTTGTAACCTTGTACTTTGTCTACATTTTTAGTAAATATGTTGCTGATGCCCCATGGGTCCTACAGTTACTCCCTTTCCCTCTTTCCTATCTCATTTTATTTCCCCTTCCCCCTAGCTTCTTCATTCTTTATATCTTCTTTCAATTTCTCTAAACAGGTTATATCACTGTGTGTGGCCCTTATTACTTTCTGTCAGTATCTTAATGGCTGCCAAGACATATACCCTTGTGTGGCAGAATTCAAAAACACATTCTGGAAATTTGTGGATAAATTTCCAGGATTTCTGTTCTCTTCATATGTTTTTCATTAAAGACTTTAAATTAATTTAGCTTCTCCTAGATTTGCTATCACCCTGCGTTCTGTGGCATAACAGGCTAAAGCCATGACTTGTTTATTGTGAGTGATTGTAACCATTCTGTAAATTTCCATCAGTGTTTTTAAGCTTTTCAGCTCATCTTCAGGGGGATATATATTAAATAAAATCTCTAAAGATTAGATAATTTGGATTTTTTAATGTTTTCAAAATGTGAGCTGAACTTGAAAAATTCCAAAGATTGGAAGTTTAGTCTTAAATATACATTCAGTACATTTCATTTCTCAAAACAGTTTGAAGATTGAAAATTTTAAGTCATTTCAAAGCATTCATACTTTTAAGTCGTAATGTAGATGTAAATATGGCACAGTATTAAATCTGAATAATAAATAAATAGCTGATTCAGTGATCCAAAACATCATTATCTAATCTTTAACAAAAACTTTTGTCAAAATCTGGAATTGTATTAATATAACATAATTATATGTTGAGAAACAAGTTATTCTGAATAGTTTAACAAAATATTTAGAAATTGATTTAAATGTATCTACAATAGCTTGATGGAATGATTTGCACTTAAGTATGGAATTTATGTTTATGCTATCTCAAGTCACTTTCAACTGTTTAGAGCAGCAAAAACTTTTAATAAGTAACATTTTTAGTCATATTTTATGACCATCCTTTAGTTTATGAACTTTCAATTGAATGATTTAGAATGCAAGAAAACGTTCCATTTTCTTGTGTTTTAAATCTAAACTGTTTTTATTTACATACAGTGAACATACAATAATATATATATTATTGTATGTTTGTCACTTTTCTCCCAGATAAGAATTAATTTTATTCAAAACAAAGAAAACAAACAATTTTGTTTTATTCAAAACAAAATAGGTTATAATAATACAGTATTTTAGACAAATCTCATGCATGCTATTTTAAGTGTTTTAATCTTTTTTGCTTCTTATATAAAACTTGTTAGAAATATTTACAGAAATTTAAAATATATGAATTGCCAAGCACCTTCATTAACATCTGTCTTTTAGTTGCCAAAAGCTGTTGATGAGGACTTTATGCTAAAATGCATCCTATAATTACCATAGGTTCCAATAAATATCTAAATATGAATTTTTAAGTTATATTGGAGTACCAACTAACACCGCAAAATTCTGAGCAATAAATATTTTATCTGGATAATTTGTCAGCACTTTGTTTTATTTACAAAATATATTACTAGTAGAAATTTTATTTTATAGTGTAATTCAAACTGAATTATATTTTATTTACATCTACTTTCTATTAAAAATTTGTTTCTTATGAAACAAGAAACAATTCTTATTTAAGCAATTTACAAAAAAACCTTTTTCATTTTTAATAAATTCAAAATTTTTATTATAATTCAAGATACATACATACATTTTTATGATGATATTTTTGAAAACATGAGGTTTAATACAGAAAGAAAAATGTAATGTAATGTAATTGTTTTATATAAATAATAGTTTATAAGAACTAATGAAGTTCTTGCATTTTTTAAGTGAATAAAGAATTGTCAAATTAAAATATAATAATTCCAAATATATTAAATCTTTATATTATTATTATTATTTATAGAATGAAGTGTGATGTTTTCAAAACTAATCTAAATTTTCTGTGTTGAATTACACAACTTAAGTACAAATTCAACTTAATGTGGACTGAGAAGGTGATGAGTTTTAAACATAGTGATGATGCTAGTCTAAATAGTGGAATTTTTGCAAAGGTATTATATGTATAAATTCATGTATGTATTAACAACATACCAATAGTGACTATTTCTATTTGTAGTTAAATTTTAATTTAAAAACATATTTGCTATTCAGTGACTTTTGAGTTATTGACATCTATCATAGTGCTTTGCAGTGGAACCTTGGAAAATGGGTTATATTCTTTGTTACATGTGGAATTGATGCTATTATGAAATGTTCCTAGTGAAGAGCAATAACTTATTTGATCCTAGTGTTAAGTTATAGTGGTAAAAATTAGAGTTTGTATTATTAAGTTGTGAATGTCATGCTCAGCTGATATTGGTGCCAAGTACTATGTCAGACTAAAGTCAAGGCATAGCTACCCAAACAAGTATTACATTAAGCTTCTGTGTTATTGATATATGTGTCAACATTGCAGCTTTCTGTAGTGCCATATATATATGTTTTTATTAAGATTTAATGTTTCTAGACTTTGTGTAGTGTATGTGGTACAACACCAGCAGAAGAGAGGACAACCAGTACAATAAATACCTTATCCATCCTCTATAAATATCTTACTTCTTGAGCAAGCGGAGTGTACTTGTTGATTTTTTCAGTGTAAGCATTTTTATGTTATGAGTGTTTGGAACAGAGATGTCTATTATATCAGCAATCTTACTGTATTTGTCAAAGAATGATGTCAGGTCTATTGTGATGAATTGTTTTATTTGTGATTATAACTCTGTTGTGCTATATTCTGTGTGTGTTATTTTTTAATACTGCTTGTGGAGTATATTTGTAGTATGGTACCTGGGTTTTTAATAATCTGTTGTTTGTGTGCAAGCTCTTGGTGTATTTATTATATTTGCTATTTGATTATGCTCATGCAAATAATCTGTTTGTGCTAAGAGCTTGCATGGCAACCATAAACCCCTCTGGCTCTCCAGACAGACAGCCCCTAGTTAGCCAGTAGTTTGATGCAGTTTTGTCAACATTGTCCCGAGCTAGATCATAGGCATGCTTGCCATGAACTGCCTTTTTTGGGCCCATGACTGCTTAACGGTGTCTCTTATTTATGTGTTGAGCTATGTCCAGGTACTCAGAGTGTAACTCTGGTAGACAATAACCATATACCTTTAGAGTTATAGCTTTATGTAATCTTGATGTTTCTTGTTTTTGTGGAAAATCTTCTGCGGTGTCAGAATTTGTTTGTAGTGAAGATTAACTATATTAGTCAGGCTATGTCCATCTTCTTTATGAGGAAGTTAGTCTGTCTTCAGATGATTTTGGTTGATACTGATTACGCTTAGTGTTGTTTTTGTTTTCTTTTGGAGTTGCTTGAGATCTCTGCCTGTCTAGTGTGTAACTCCAAAAGAGTAAGTGAGTATAAGGACAACATATGTATTAATAGCTTTAATAGTATATTTTGCATTTAGGCATATTCTCAATATTGCATGTAATCTGTTCTGGTATTTGAGTATTAATCTTTGTTTTATCTGTGCATGTTCTGTAAGTTCGGCCTATTGGAATCTTAAATATTTGTAAAACTCTTCTTCCATGGATTCAATAGTATCTCCACTTGTGAGTACAGAGTCTCCTTTCATCAGAATTTCTTTTTCAATGTGTAGTGTTTTGCATTTATCTAGACCAAACTCCATTTGTATGTCATTTGAATACATGTGTATAGTTTGTAAGAGATGATGCAGCTGATTCTGTATGGATGCATAAAGTTTGATATCATCCATGTACTTAGATGAGGTGTGATAATGTAAACAGTGTTGTTTTGTTGTGTCTGATATTGTAGCCATATTGTGATCTGTTCAGTGTATTAGATAAAGGGTTAAGTACAAGACAGAACCAAAGACTCAAGTAATCTCCTTGAAAAATTCTTCACCTGATGTATTATATTGTTTTTATGTGTGTGTTATGGAGGTTAAGATGTAATGTTATTCTCCAGTGGAGCATAGTAAAACTATTATTATCATCTTTTGTTTTTTAATAACACGACAAGTTTTATGGAATGTTGAGTTATTGAGAGTTGAGTTTCTGGGACTCTATTGTAATGTTATTAGTGTAAATAAAGAAATTTCAGTAATTTACAGGTTAAATTTCAGTTATGTAAATGAATGAAATTGGTTTTCATTTTGTAATTAAATTTATTCTGCTTTTATTTAAAAATGTAACATTTACAAAAAATATATCTTGTCAATTCATACTTTTTAATTAACTTAATATTATTTTCTTCTGATTTGATTGTGTTGAATAACTCCAAAAATTCAGTAGGAGACAGCAAGTGTGAATGGTGATTGCTTGTCATGTTTGTCTTTATGCTATAAAATTCTATGCTAAATCTCACAAAACTTACAAAACCATGTGGAAAAAATTTTATAGACCTGTCAAGTTTCATGTTTATCCATAAATAAATAAGCACACTTCAATGAGACGAAGAATATGTGTATATATATATGGGCTTGGTCTATAGAACTCACCACATGTATCACATGTATTTACAAAGTATTCACAAGTATTCATCAAAAAGTTAAATGAACTGATAACAAAAAGAAAGAAAGACACAAGTTAGAATTCAGAGATTGCATCTTTGTTTAAAAAATTTGTTAATTTAGCTCATTTTTGTTAATTTTGTTAAACTGAAGTACCGTAGACCCCCCTATAACACGGTAGAGAATTCCGTGTTATATGAATTCCATGTTGTACGAGTCACTTAGATTTTACAAATGCATGTGCCGGGCTGTGAATGGCTCACATATTTGTAAAATCTAAGTGACTCGTACAACATGGAATTCATATAACATGGAATTATTTACCGTGTTATAGGGGGATTTACTGTATTTCTAATTTTTATTTCTGAAATTCTTGTTATATTTATAAACTTTTTATTTTCTAGGTGGTTTAATTGCAAGAGGAATTATTTCAACATTGGACAATCATAATGTAAATACATTTATTTCTCTTAGTTCACCACAGATGGGACAATATGGTGGTATATTATTATTTTTGTATATTTTGTTATATATCTTATTTTTTAATATTTGTTTAGTGTTTTATTTTAAGAAAGTCTACATAATTTTTATTAATATTATTTAAAGTTTATGTAAACAGATTATTGGAAAATTTTGGTGTTACATTCATTTATTTTAATCATAGAACTAGTAGTCATGTTAATGTAAATATGTTAAAATAGAAAAACTTTTAAACCTGTTTAGTCATCAGTACCATTCTGTTCAGTATCATTTCAAAACATGCTGATATTATTTCTCGTCTCCATTTAATTGCACTTAATAAGTAATAAGCATGTTGTAATTTCACCAAAATTCTTATGAACAGTGAAACAAGTTATAAATATATGAACAATATAAAAAGCATGTAGTTAAAAACGTGACTAAAAAAGTATGTTAAATATTTATTAGTTAAAATTTGTAAATATTTTAATTTAATTTGTAATCATATTAGTGGNTTTTATGTACGTTTCTTTACAAAGCTATATTTAATTATAATTTTGTTTAAAAGTATATTCATACAATTGAAGAATATTTTGTACTAGGTATATACCGGTACATCCACCACACATTTTATTTCACTGAGTAAGTTTTTATTATTTTATTTTTAATTGTAGCCCTTATATAGTGGTTAGTGATTCGGAATGTAATTGTGATATTAAAAATGCATTTAGAGAAATCTACGGTTTTTACTGGCTTATCGAATAAATGATACGAATGGACTCTAGACCAGGGGTGACCAACAGTTTTTGCCCCCGGGCCAGATTAGAAAAAGAACTTTTTCCATGGGCCGAAGCAGAGGTTGCCCCAGGAAGATTTTGAGGTGGTGCGAGATCTCATTATGGTGTCACCCCGTAGAGACTGAATTGTAGATAGAGATTACAGATACATTTGCACATTATCATGCTTTATCAACACACTACGCTGTACTTAAGAGGGTTAACTCTAAATGCATGGTGAGTTGTTGACTTTTTATTATAGGCATCAGAATTTTTCATCAAGCTATTTTGAAAGATTGATCGCGAGCCACATAAATTCATTAGATGGGCCAGATCTGACCATGCCTGCTCTAGACCATCACTGACGTGCAATTGACTGATTGCCCCTGGATGTCAACTTCTTACAGAAACACAGCTTCCCTAGCATCAAATGTGATGGCACGCCACTGTAAAGCAGAAAAAGGATGTGTAACATAAAATGTGTGCAGTCACCCCGGAGTAGCTTAGTAATAGATCCCTAATTGCACAGAAGCATGGTTATATTTTGATTGAGGGATATAATGATACAAAGTCAATGACGGTGATGCATTCATCTTTCGTTATGGTAAGAGGCCGCAAGGTATCTAATAAATCAGTGGAGTTCTCTTTTAATTATCAAAGATACAGAAAAATTACTTCAAAGAATTGTAAAATGGGACATTGTTTCTATTGTCAATGAAGTCTGGTTTTTGCTCATTGCTTGTCATTTCTGTTTACTTCAGAACAACAATTGTCTAATATGTTGATTTATCACCATTCACTTATTTTTACTGTCTGTACAAACTTCATAATCAAACTTTTGTAAGTATTTAATTCTAAAAGTTATGTAGATGAATGCATTGATCTGATCAGCTAATAAATCAGGAAGTAAATGCAGATATTTCATCATGTTTTGAAATTGTTACATTTAAAAATTTTTTTAAAATTTTCAAAATTATTTTGAGAGATTGCTAGCTGTAAGATTTGATTTGGCTAATATGCATTTAAGAATAAAGTCCTTAAACACAGAACTAAACTAATGCTTCTTTAGAGGCATTAAAATATAAATTTATCTTCAAATTACTTCAAATACATGTAATGAAATATATTTTTTGTAGTGTCTTCTATATAAAGATACTAGATACATTTTACACACTTTCCAGAAACTAAATTTAAATAAAACAAACATTTTCAGCCTGATTGATAAGCTTTTATCATATTTTTAAATAGAGATTCTATTTTTGGAATAAAATATTCTTTGATGTAAATTGTTTTTAAATCATTGCAAGTTTTTTGATTATCCAATATATCAAGAAATAACAAAAATAAAATACATTTAAATGTAAAACTAAAAATGAAATATAATAGAATACAATTAAGAATTTTGTTATATTGGATAATCCAAAAACCTATTTTTATGATTTAAAAAAATAATTTATGCCAAAGAGTACTTTATTACAAAAATAGAATTTCTATTTGAAAACTTGACAAAGGCCAGAAATGTTTGTTTTAATTTAATTGCTGGAAAAGTGTGTAGGATGTGTTTAGTGGCTTTATATACTGTGGAAGTTCCAGCTTTGACTGTTATTGTTATTATTGTCCTGTTGAAAACACAACAACTGTATAGGAAATTACGTATGAAATAAATTCACTATATTCTAGATTTCAAGTTAGTGGAGTGTGTTCTCAAAATCACTTTGAGTTAGACATACAAAATACATTGCATTTATAAGAGTGACATTGGAACAAAAATAAAATTTGCCTTTGTGAAAGATTTGACTTAGTAAAGTTTAGACTTGATCAGTCAACTGTATAATGTATATACTAATTATTTCCAACAAAATTCAGACAGTAGTCTACATCAAAGTTATCCTTCAGTTTTTCATAAGTATTTTATTTTTATTGCAGTTTTCATTTTTAATAATAATTTTATTTACAGGATGGTTTAAAAGACATTTAACTGAGATATATATATAAAGATTTTAATAATGATTAAACTTTTTATTATTATTTCTGTCATGTGAGAACTAAGAGGGCCTTCTTTTTATCAAGCCCACAATGGACATGCAGGTGGTGAGGAACAGGGCCTGACATATCCAGACAGCCAGACCATCCCCAAAAATTCCTGGAGTTTTTGGGGTTAGACATGTGTGGATTTGATCCTGGAACTCCAGAGCTGCATCGTGATGCTTTAAGTACCTAAGCCATCTGACCAGTATATAGTGTTTTAAGTGCTGTTCAGGCTGGACAAAACCTGAATTAATTGAATTTTTATAGTTTCTTTGGATATGAAACTTCAGATGTGTTAATTAGAAATTTTGACATATTTTGGAGGCATTATAAGCGCCAGTAGCTTGTGTATGAAACAGTTTGTGAGGTTTATTGTTTCACAGTTTCATTAATGGCCATCATCATCTGCAGTAATACCAGACTTATTACACCAGGATAGAAATTATCACTTGATTAGGAAATCAACATTTGTTGATTCATTTTATACAGGCAATATATTTCAGACCATTTTGTCCCTCATCAGTTATATAAAATGAAAAAATAAATGTTGATTTCCTAATCAAGAAATAATTTTTATCTTGGTTTAATAAGTCTAGTATTACTGCGGATGATCATGGCCATTAATGAAACTGTGAAACAACAACCAGGCATGAAGCAAATACAGGAAACAGGTTTATTGTCATTTGCTTTTAATACATGACACTAGTAAAAACCTGTTATTTCATTAGAGAAAATGTATTTACATATGTTAAAAGAATAAGAAATTTAATTCAAATTGTATTGAAGAAGTAAAACAAAAATAATAAAAAAACAGCAGTTGAAAGTTTACAAAATCATAATTATAAAGGAAACCATAAAAATCATTACTCATCTTAGTTTCTGCCATTGATGAGATACTGACATATCAATATCTTTATCACTGTCATTAGATTCTTTACTGCTTTCATAACTAATTGAAGGTACTTCAAGCCATAGGAGAATTTTATTTTTTCAGTTTATATTATGCACTTGATTTTAGTTATCTAGATGAAATGACTAGATCTAATGAGATAAATAGCTAGTGAAGCTTTATATTAGTTCCTTGTCTGCTAACTTTTCTATATCTTTCCCGAAAATCTTTGGAAATCTTTGTTCCTTGCCTCCTGGCATTTTTGCTCAGCATCTCTATGGGGAGTAATGAAACTTTGATCATCATCAGATCCATGAATAATGATTTTATATACATATGGAGGCACAGAGTATCACAGAAAGCTTTATACAAACAGCTGAGCTGTTTCTAGTATCCAGTTTAATACATATTCAAATTTAAAAATGAATATAAAAAGAAGTGGTAGTGGAACATAACATGTATTGCTACATTATTCTTTCATTATGAATATCAACTCTTAGAGTCCATCAGTGACCAAGTGGATAAAATCACTGAAGAATTGTAGTTTGCATTTGGTTTTCACCTGACCAATGGGCTGGTCATGTGGAATTTACTGGGTTTTCTTCACAAGTCTAATGCTTAAATAGAGGCCAGTTTTCTATAGAAAGTCCTCCCAGGAGGTACAGTACCTCCTTAGCAGACTGCCCAAGCATTAAATTGAATCTATCCAACTTAATTCTGGCTGGATATGCCCTTTAATCAGTTGCTAATATCTGTCAAGGTGATAGGAGGATAGGAGGATGGTGCATAATTTTTAATATGTTATTGCAAACACTTCAGAACATATGTACAGTACAAACAAATAAAAATGGACATTTTTGTGCATCGTAGCTTTTTGTGGTTATGTTGCTTCCCTTAAAAGTGTTGATAAATTTGCAAAATGTGAGTGACTATCAAAAGCTGGAACATATTTCAGTACTTAACTGTAACAATCAGAGCAGTTTCCCAGAAAATGTTTGGTTATCTGATGAACATTTTTGGCTTAATTTACAAGTTTGCTTCAGGTCAACATAGAACTTTCTATCATTTTAAAATGGAATGAATCTTCAATCTACAATGCTTTTGGAATTTTAAATTATGGAAGAAACAGGTTTCATTCTATGATTTCAGCTTGAAAATCAAAATTAAAACCCAAACTGGTTACGATGCATTATACAATAATGTCTCCTATAATAGTATAATCAGTCACTAGTTAGAATTCAACAAGAAGGTCATCTTAAAACATTTGCCACACCACAGATAGTGTTCCAGTCTTGGGAATAGATATATTCTTTCTCTCTGGAGGCTTTCCAGAGAGTTTCCAGAAAAA